AGTAGTAGAGGTGACACGCTCTTAACTGATCATGGTGTTTTCTGCTGTTTTTTGACTTTTTCTATCGTTTTCTCTGGTTTTTTCTGCGTTTGACGGGTTGGGGGGGGTGGGGGGGGTGGGTGGGGGGGGGGTAATTACGTGCTGTGCTTTGTGCACACATGACCATGCTGAGGGGTTGGGGGGGGGGGGTGGGGGGGTAATTACGTGCTGTGCTTTGTGCACACATGGGGGTCGTGCTGGGCTTTGTGCACGCTTGACCACGCTGTCTACTGTTTTCCTCTGTTTTTTTGGTTGGTTTAGGGGCAAGATCTTTTGGGCTCACAGTGGAGGGTTTAGGGTTTGCAGGTACAGATCTTTTGGGCTTTTTTGGGAACCTTTTGGGCTTCCAGTGGAAATATGGGGTTTGAGGCTTCAGCCTACAGATCTTTTGGTTTTTTTTGGCATCTGGGGTTTAGGGTTTCAGGGCAAGACATTTTGGGCTTACAGTGGAGGGTTTAGGGTTTGGGGCTTGAGGGTAGAGACCTTTTGAGGTTTTTTGGGATTTGGGGTTTAGGGTTTAAGGGTAAGACCTTTTGGGCTCACAGTGGAGGGTTTCGGGATCTTTTCGGCTTTTTGGGATTCACAGTGGAGGGTTTAGGGATCTTCTGGGCTTTTTTGGGATTTGGGGTTGAGGGTTTAAGGGAAGGGTTTGGGGTTGAGGCTGTAAGGTGAAAGGACTTTTGGGCTTTTTCTATGGGATTTAAGGTTTAAGGGGGTGCACTGTGGGACTGCTTTGTCATTCAGGGTACACATGGGGTTTGGGGTTTCAGGCTCCAGATGTTTTGTGTTTTTTCTGGGGACGTGCTTGACGCTGTGGGGTTGAGATTTTAAGGGTGCACGACTCTTGGGCTTGCTTCAGGTTTCGGGGTTTCGGATTTCAGGGTGCACGACTGTTCGGCTTGCTGGAGGCGTTCGGGTTTAAGGACAAGTTTGGCCACATCTTAGAAAACCCGCGAAACGCTGTAAATACCGGTCTTTTCCTCTGTTCTGAGAACACGTCTGCGCAAAGTAGGCCCTGTAATTGACCGTTTTTGAAGCCCGAAAACACTGTAAATACCGATGTTTTCCTCCTGCGCCTAAAGTAGTTGAAAGTAGTTTGCGGGACTTTTTACACGTCCATTTTTCGTGTCCGTAAACGGACAAAGCCAGGAAACACTGTAAATACCGAGGTTTTCGTCTCTTAACACGAAAATTGCACGCCACAAAACCCCTGCGATCAATTAAGAACGTGACGCCTAGTAGTAGTAGTAGTAGTAGCAGCAGCAGTAGCAGTAGCAAAAGTAGAAACAAAAGTAGTAGGAGGAGGAGTGGTAGTAGTAGTAGTAGTAGTAGTAGTAGTAGCAGTAGTAGTAGTAGTAGTAGTAGTAGTAGTAGGAGGCGCGGCAATAGCAGTAGTGGACCTTGAGTCATGCCACAGCAAGCATGCATGGGCTCTCACGTCCCCCGCCTGCACGCTTGAAGTCCGCCAGTATTCTCAGGCTTCAAAGGAGGGTAACCCAAGAAAGCAAACAAGAAGAGAAGTGCTCCAGCCCCAGCGTCGTGGAGCCGTTTAACGGATGTGCGGGCACTTCGAAACAACGGAGTGACATCAAAACATGCAGCCTGGCACACACGTGCTTTATCGGCGCCCCCTCTGGACTATGCCCCTGACATGGACTGAGGTGCGGCAGGCGCACAACTTCACGGTGGACATGGAAGAAGGCTACAAAAGGCGGCATGCCAACTACTAAGCAGAGAAGGGTCGAAATCCTGGTCACCTTGGGGCCGATCAAACACTCCGGGTTAATAGAACTGGTGAGATGCCGGGTTCCTGCCATTCAGGCAGGTGTTTCGACCCTGCCTTGTGGGTGTTCTCTTCGGACCGTCGAGCATCAGATGTTCCACATCCTTGCGTGAAGCCAGCGTGCAGACCAACCAACACCGCCGACACAAGGCAGGCAATAGCTCCGCAGACAACGTCTCATGCGGGAATGCTCATTCCGCAGTCTCCATTCATTGAAACTAAGGAGCAGGAGGTAGGTCTCCTTGGCCTTTGCCTGATCAACTGCTGACCTGAGTATGCTCAACCACTGGGCAGTTTTCCGGCACAGATGTTCTGACAAGGCCAACCCAAGCAACGCGCTGCACAATGCTGAACCATTTTATACGTCCTCACTGAATATTCTACAGCAGGCACACGTGACTTTTTGGCTTGCGCGTCACAAGAGCACGGGGGTGAAAGGCTCGTCCGAAAGCCCACATGGGAATTCCCAGGCGAGCGTCACCCTACTGCACGCAGGGTGTTGAGGATGCTGTTGGCAATGCGCTCGGAAATGTAGACGCCCGCCTGCTGCGCTTGTTCAAGCACTGGCACGGCCAACTCGCCTCGACCGCGTCGATGGGCCTGCAGGAGGAAAATTTCGAGCGACTCTCTTGGCAAGACCGTGCCCCCGAGGAAGGCGTCGTCTATCAACCTGGCCCACTGGCATTCGTGTTGACGAAAGAGGCAGCAGCAGTACTGTAATGAATTTGTGGGGGGTTGCGGGATCTGGCATACTGAATTGAGGACATGATGTTCGGATATTTTCGGGAACGGGGATGCTTCAGCACCCAGGCACCTTGCCGCCGCATCCAGGTCTCCTTGCTGGAGGCTGCCAGTCAGCAACAGCTTGTACACGGAGGCATCCACGTGGCACCTGGCAGCCGACATCTGCTCGTAGATCTGGAAAGCCTGCGCCACCTCGCCCTCCGCCATGCAGGCTGCGGCAAGGCATCCGTAGACTGGGGCGTCAAGTTTGAGGTCATACTTGGGAGGAAGCTCCCTGAAAACACGCATTGCCGCCCCCAAATCACCACAGCGGCTGTGCAGGCGTATCAACAAAGTTAAAGTTGTTGAGGAAGGGACAATCCCGATTTCTTCCATGTCGCCGAAGATCTGCTCGGCAAGCATAGGCAACTGCCTGTGTGCACAAGCCTCCAGCACTGCATGGAATATTGCGATGTCTGGCGTTACACCCCTTCGCTGCATCTGGCCCAGCATTTGCACACTGCTCTCCAGGTCTCCCTTAGCAAGTTGTCCACGGATCACACACGCATAGGTGCCAGAGTCTGGCACCACATCTTGCAGCGTCATGTCGCGCAGCACACTTATGGGATGATCTGGATCTTCGCTTTTGGCCAGCACAGAAAGCAAGGTGTGATACAAGCCCCTGGAATACTCCACATGCTCCTTGGTGACACAGTACAGGTCCCAAGCTAAGGCGGCAGTGCCCTGGGCATTTGCCACCTTCAAGGTCTTCATAAGAAGTGCCGGTGCCCGGCTGAAATGCGAGAGCTTCTGGACGGCCTCTTGAAAGGCCGCAGTTGATCCTGCAATGTCGCCAAGCTGGATAGATGCAAGCACCTTTTTGCAAAAGGCCTCCTCTGCAGCGCTCACACGGTTCACTGAATTCACACTTCTCTCCTCCGGAATGGAGGACTCATCATCGCCGCGGCTGTGCGACGGGTATGACTCTACTCCGTGGTCCTCCTTGGCCTGATGGCCTGTGAAAAGGCGACCAGCTGCCAGGCGGATCACAAAGAAGTTGAAAACGACTAAGAGGACAATCAGCAACTCCCAGCCTAAGTTCAGGCAGCGAACTTGGGAAAGCAAACCCTCCAAAAGGCTGCGCATGAGTCACTATGGCATGATACGCATCGACATTGAACATCTTAAATCATCTTGAATCTGCAGGCCAAGGACCAGGACCTGCCCATGGGCTCTGTGAGGTGGCTGAGCCCAGGAAGGTCGAGAACTGATGAATCGCCATCAGCAAGAGCTGCGCGGGAAGGGGTAATAGATATGAAGCTACGTTGAGAGCAGAAACAGCTACAACGCGAGCGCGCACTCAACACAGTCAGCGGAAAACTGGTACTCGCTGCCCGTCTTGACATCTCAGCAACGCAAACAGTCGAGGGCCCACACAAGATGGAGAGGCCATAGGCAACCGCGGTCTCGTGTCAAACCTACATGGCTGGTGTGATTCTTTCTCGGTAGCCCACAGCATCTATACGACCATAGGGAATCTGGCAAAACGAAGAAACTCACAAGCAGAAAACTCATCCAAAAGACACGCCCAGACCTTCTATGTTTGCTTGCCAGACAGCTTCGGCCTCAGATGCGCAAACACTTTGGAGAGAAATGCCCAAGGACAGCTGCTCAGATAATGCTGTTACCAAGTGTTCGCCGAAAACACGTCTCCATGCAGCCCCAGAGGCTCCAGAGCGTCTTGTTCACAATGCAAGCAATGGGGCGGCAAGCCATTGCGTGACGTGAACTGCACCGATGTCTCTTGCCAGGTGCAGCCACAACAGTTCCTCAACAACGACGTACGAGTCCTTCGTCCTGTAATTGTACGCGGATGCTGCCTTTTGTCCGGTTGTGGGAGATTTGGAGGTTTACGATAGGTTACCTTATTGGGGTCCTTTTTGTAAGGGGATCTAATTATTTGGGGATAAATTTGGGGTCCTCTATTATTCTGTAAACCCCCTATTTGGAGGTGTGCAGTTTGGAGGGTGCCCTCGGCTGCTTTGCGGTGTGTCGGCCATATGGGAGCATGTCCAATCGCAAACAGAACAACAGCACAAGTCTTTCCGGACTACGATTGGCATGTAGCAAGCGATGTTCGTCACAATTGTGGACATTCTGGCTAACACTTCCAAAATGTTAGGGTCTGCTAGAAGAATTCCGCACAAGGCGCAATTCCAACCAATCCCCCAACAAAGCAATTTGAGAGTCCCACATCGATGAGCGCCCAGATCGATTGAGGGTAGGTCTTTCTTCCTCCTTCACGCGGGTGTCAAGCACTTGATCACATAAGAAGCATGCCCCAAGCGCAGATGGTGTATGAAGGGGGCTTGCGCAGGCATTTTCCACCTCAGCCTGGAGTTTTTCAGAGTTTCTGGTCCACTGGATGTGGGCTTGGAGACATGCAGACACCTCTCAGACGAGAAAGAGACCCGGGAGGCAGTCACTCCGTATGTCACTTCATGGAGGCTTCTTCTTGCCGTCTCAGCTCCTCCTCTTCTTGTGGCGTCAGGTGTCTTTTTGGCCGAGGCTTGCGGGTGATCTGACCTGCTGGACTGATGTTGACATCTTTGAACTCGATGTAGAGCGCGAAGATCACGAGCGCCACAACAACCCGAACTCCCCACACCTCAAAGGCAGGTCGCTCATAGAACTCCGCGTTTGGGCCCTTGTCCTGCAACTGCTCATGCGGCGAACTTGTCCCTTCCTTCCAACCAGGTGGCCGCCACTTCTGGCCACCTATCGGTAAAGCCCCTGCTGACATGTGAGAGCGCGAGCCAGACAAACCTCGGAAGGCAGCTGCTGCTGCAGGTCCCGACGGCCCGGGCGTGCTGGAACTAGCGCGTGGCAGATAGCTCTTGGGAAGGTGCATCGGCATAGATGTGCCACCTGTGTCACTCACTATGTGCTTGTTGTGTGTACCAGGAACAGCCATCTCCTCTCCAACCGCATGGGGAAGAGCAGCTGTCTGATTGTTCAACATCTCCTTCATGACTTTCGAAACACTTGGCTTGCTCGGATCACACCCCGGCGTTCGCATGTGCGGGAAGCTGTCCTTGATGACCTTAGACCACCATCCGCGTGGAAAATGTATATTGCTAGCATGTTACCACATAGCTGAAGCTGAAGTGAATCCTTTTGCGAAGCTTACGTGGGTGCCACTGTCCGTCCGGCTTGAAGTTATGTCAGTTATTCCCCACCCTCGGTGTGGGGTTGTTAGATTTCAAACTCAACTCTTCTCCTCGCCCAGTCTACTCCTCCTGGAGTGCCCAACTCTAGAATGTCCCTGGAGTGCCCAACCCCAGTCTCCCTGGAGTGCCTCAATTTTGTGTGTTCCCGGAGTGCCCAACCCCAGAGAGTCGCCGGAGTGCCCAGCCCCCGGCTTTCCGGGAGTGCCCAACCCCAAAATCTCTAAAACGTCTCCCTGGAGTGCCCAACAGTGTCCCGGAGTGCCCAGCCCCAGAGTGTCCCTGGAGTGCCCAACCCTAGAGTATCTCTACCAAGAGAGGGTGGGGATGTTCGAAGTAAAATAATTTGTGTTGATCGTTTGCCGAAGAGAATGTACAACAGGCCTCCCCTTACTTGTTGATTGGTGAGCAGCTTGGCATACCACAAAACAGCTCTGCCGATTCTCTTAGTGCAACTTTGACGCTGCAAGGCGCTGAAGCCCAGCACGCAGCGCCATCTCTGCTCCGCGTGGATCGAAGAAGCGTGCTGAAGAACACAAGATATTTTTTTGTGCATGGTACGCATGTCCGCAATGACCGGAGTTAACAGGGGAATCTGGCTGTAGATGATCATCGCTTGCTTATCACTGCCCGCATGTGCCATCATGTGCAAACGCAGCGGCTATGAGGTGCAACAGCTGTCCCGCAACCGAAGTGATAGTTTCTGCGCCCACCAATCCATGCAAGCCACGCGGAGAACTTTCGGAAAGCTACGCTGCATCTTTAGCATGGCCCAGGAGGGCGCGTGGTCCACGTGCCTCTGGAATCTCGTCCCCAAGCAGCTGAGCCTCGATTTGGGTTTGCATTGCACAACGGTCAGAACTGGTTCCGAAGCTGAGCAGTAGATGCAGATGAAGCACAATCTGTTCAACCGTAGTCTCCTCACCGAAGACCTGGCGTGCCAAGTTTTTGCCGACGTTCGTCGTGACCCGAGGCAGACAGACCCAAGCACGTCGGTTCCGCGGCACCGGAGTCTTCATCGAAGAAAAAACCTGTGCGCCAAATCTTTGAGCCTGCGCGGCTCGCTCTCGCTGAAACCGACGAGCGCACACAGAGACAAACAAAACAAGCATGCCGGCGTACGTCAAATACGTGAACGCGCATGGCATGCATGGTGTTTGCGTTTGGCAAGCAGGTGGACAGGGAACACGTTTCCCCAATGTCCAGTATGTGGTGTCGGTTTCGAGGCCCACGTCAAACAAATCTCCGAGCCCTCTCAATACCAAGTCTGCTAGGGCCTGACCTGCTTCAGTGCTATTGCAACTTCAATGATCTCAAGCCCCAGTGCGGGGTTGTGCATAACTCGGTCGATACATCACGGAGCACCGAGCAAGGCCGCCTCTGGTGAGAACCTGTTCCATGATACCTGGACATCATTTTGTGCTACGGGGAAGGATCCAGCAGACCGCGGCAGCAGGTGGCAGGAGTTCAGAGTGCAGATAGGCCTTTCAGCACTTTGTCTGCAAACTTGGGCCTCATTCAGAAGATATTCAGAAGCTTGCCAGTGCATGCAGTGCCCTACGGAGCAATCGGAACCCTGCCAGGCCGGAACGAGCAAACCTATCACAAGTCTTCCTCCTGGCATTTAGGCTGTGGCTGACCACTTGGTGGGTCAAAAAGCCTCCGCCCTGACAGCCACGCTGAACGGCAAGCTCACGTGGCAATACTTCATGTTGGTGAACATGGAATCTTAGGCTCTGAGGGTACAGAACTGTCACGTTCTCAGAACTGTTCATGCGCCGAGCTGTAGAAAAGAAGCGGTGACGCCTCGACGGTGCTGAGCTGCCATGGCACCAGGATAGCGCCTTCAGCTGGGAGTGGGTTTGCACTTGCAATTGGCAGATTCGTACTCAAGTGGTTCATGACTGAGCCATGAGCAAAGAATACCACGGGAATGGACAGCTGGGACAAAGGTAGCCTCACAGATTCATTTTTCAGCCAGAGCACACAGCTGTCGAGATCTTCTTTGGCTTCGCAAGTCGCAAGTGACTCAATTTGTTTCAGACATTGGCCGTCGCTGGGCTCGGCGTCGGGTTGAGAAACCATCTTGTCATCATGTCGGTCGGCATCATGAGTGTCTGTCTCCTGGGGGGGCAAGCATGCAAAGATGTCACTTAGGAGGCAGCTGGCAAGTGGCAAGCCGGGCTAAGTGAATAAGCGAGCCTCGCCAGCCACGAGAACCGTTTTGATGCACCTTCTGTAGACGGGCGAGACTAGCTTTCCAGCTTCCCAACCATCAAACAGCCGATGCCTTCGCTCAGCTGGAATCTCGTCATCCACTCCTCGGCGGGAAGTGCATGATGCGAGTCTCGCAGGCATTCAAGGGAAATGGCAAGTCAGCGGTCATAGACAGCGCCGCCATTTGCTTCAACAATCTCCAAAAGCACACACCGTCACACCGAGTCACACCTCAGGTCCCGGCTCCAGTCTGTTTGTGGTCGGCACTGCGCTTCTCGCGCCATGTGCCAGCACAGCAAGAGCTTGAAACATTCAGTTGTCGAATTTCTGCTGTCTTTTCCGACTAGCCGTACTTAAAGAAAGCACCCCATGCAAAAAGTGCTGTGCCGCAGCATGGAGCAACAGAATTCCTAAAGCAGAGCTAGGACCGCTAGGAACATGTCGTCCAGCCCGACCCGAATCGTTGTTTTTGTGCTGTTTTACCGCTTTCTAGGACCTATATTATACTCAACATCACGATAGCTTCGCAGCTTCGCACTTCTGAAACTTCCGTTCTGTCTCACCAATCAGGGGCCGTGCCTCTGCAGTGTCCTATGCTACGTCGCTAAGCAGCCTGAGCCGAATTCCAGGCAGCAAATGGCAGCAAATGGCAGCAAATCGCAGCAACTTGCGACCGTCCCACGGCACGAAGGAGGAGCGACGCATCCCTTTTGCCGAAAGTGGCTCTTCTCTCCTCCATCTGAAAAAACCTGGTCCAGTGTTTGGCCGGTGCATCAACGTTACACCCTCGACAGCCCCGATGGGCTGAGCTGCAAGCGCGGGAAGCACTTGAAGAGCATTAACGACGACTCGTGGAAAGCTCTGCAGGGCTTTCCAGCAAGTAGAGTGCCTACTGACACTTGGGCTCTGCAGAGCTTGGAGAGTCCGGGATTAGATCACACGCAGCTGGTGAAACACTTAAGTAGTGTATCAGCTAGGGGAAATGGTCAGTATGAAACCAAGTCTCTTCCTGACGTTTCAAGACAATTGAATGGGCACCTGGTTTCGGCGGCCCTGTTCTGTCGTGAGAGCTGTCGTGATCATAACCATAACCTGCTCGAAGCCATGGCCAAAGCAGCCCGGCTTTGTCGGTGCACGTCATGAAAGTCGTTTGCCTCGACGCAGGGGTTGCACATGCAAGTGTGGTCGCTGCCCAAGCAAAAAAAACACCAGCGGGTTGGGCTTGCACCTTGTCCAAGAAGTAGCGACTGGCGACTGGAGCGGACAAGCCTACCCGGCTGGCAATGGAGGCAGCATGTAGTCCTTGGCCCAGCTCAGAGAGCTACAGTGCAGCTGTGCAGCTGTATCATTGCGCGCTTGTGTATGCAGCTGGCGGACTGGCCGCGCTAAGGCAAGAGCAACCGTTTCCCAGCCGCTCTTGTCTTCTGCACCAGCGTCCCTGCCAAAAAAAAACGGTGGAGCGTCAATCAAAGAAAGACAGAGACGAAGGGGGAGAGAGAGAGACAGAAGGAGAGAAAAAACGATTTTACTTCGAACATCCCCACCCTCTCTTGGTAGAGATACTCTAGGGTTGGGCACTCCAGGGACACTCTGGGCACTCCGGACACTCTGCTCTGGAGGTTGGGCAGGAGACGGACACTCTGGCTTGGGCTCCAGACTCTGGGGTTGGGCACTGCCGGAAAATCTGGGGCTGGGCAATCCGGGCACTGTCTGGGGTTGGGCACTCCAGGGAGACTCCGGGGTTGGGCACTTCAGGGAGACTCTGGGGCAGGGCACTCCGGGGCAGGGCAACACTCAGGGGTGGGGCACTCCGGTTGGGCACTTCAGGGAGGCTCTGGGGTTGGGCACTCCAGGGACACTCTCTAGAGTTCGGCACTCCAGGGACATTTGGGGTTGGGCGGATGAGCGAGGAGTAGACCGGGCGAGGAGAAGGGGCTCGGGCGAGGAGAAGAGTTCCGGGCGAGGAGAAGAGTTGAGTTTAAAATCTAACAACCCCACACCGAGGGTGGGGAAAAACAAACAAGAGCGGGGGAGAGAGGGAGAGAGAGGGAGAGAGAGGGAGAGAGAGGGAGAGAGAGGGAGAGAGAGGGAGAGAGAGGGAGAGAGAGGGAGAGAGAGGGAGAGAGAGGGAGAGAGAGGGAGAGAAGAGAGACGGAGAGAGAGGGGAGAGAGAGAGGAGAGAGAGAGAGGGAGAGAGAGAGGGAGGGAGAGAGAGGGAGAGAGAGGGAGAGAGAGGGAGAGAGGGAGAGAGAGGGGACAGAGAGGGAGAGAGAGGGAGAGAGAGGGAGAGAGAGGGAGAGCACCGCCCATTTGTGTTGTTGCCAGGAGAGAATGGGAGCGATGGGGAGAGAGGGGGAAAGGGGGAGAGAGAGAGGGGAGAGAGGGGAGAGAGGGGAGAGAGGGGAAGAGAGGCGGAGAGAGGCAGAGAGAGAGAGAGAGAGGGCTTGCAGTGGAGCTTGTGTACAGCAGCGCTGTTACCACATTAGATTTTCTAAGTGCAGGGCTTCTGCGCGTTCTTCACCATCCTTTTCCGCTTGTAGAAGTATGGAAGCCTGTCAAGCTCACACCACACGAAAGTTTACAAGCATACCTGGCAGGCCAGCTGCATATCTCTTTGCATGAAAACTAAATTCTTAAGTGTCTCTCGTGTGAGCATTGGACGAGCTGTTTGTGTTTGTTGTCCTTGGCCCTCCTTCACCATCGAAAGCACAGGTCCCACAAACGAATCTCCAGCCTGCGACGGTGGACAGTCGTAAGGGGCTCCTCATCCTGGACAAGGCCCAACCTCTTGAACCACAACTGCACGACACCACTGTCGGCCCCTGGCTGTCCATGTTCATATTAAAATTTGTTTACAAGATGAAGCACGGAGCCTTACATGTTTCGAAGGAGCCGACTGACTAAACATGGCAAAATGGATTTCGGCTTTGGCCTGCTCAAAGAGCTTGGCAGCGCTGCAACACCATGTGCGACTCCGTACATCCTCAACCCTAAACCCTAAACCCTTTTTGCTAAACCCTAAACCCTAAACCCTAAACCCTAAACCCTAAACACTAAAACCCTAAACCCTAAACCCTAAACCATGTCGAGTTCCCAGTCCTTGCTGTCTGACAAGTCGGAATCGCTGTCCTCTCTGCTGGACTCGCTCGAGTGGAGCTCCTGCCTGTTCCACCTGACGCACCGGTGGACACAAAACACACACAGATAAATAAATATATATATATATGCTCATATATATATATATATATCTCTCTCTCTCTCTCTCTCTCTCTCTCTCTCTATCTGCCGCGCCATTATAAATAAATATATATATATATGCAATTTTTTTAAGTTTATTTATTTTTTTGTATTTGGCAATCCCTGGGGCCCTGGGGCCCTGGGGCCCTGGGGCCCTGGGGCCCCGAGGAGCGTAGCCTAGCCTGGATTTGTAGGCGCCCTTCTCACCTCGGCTAGCCAGATCCATTGCTCTGTTTCCACGCGGCAAAGTGCTTGGGCGCCACATGATGTCGCAGCTGTGGCACGTCTGGACTCTTTGGGATTGACTTTCGAGCTCTTCCTTGCAGAATTCGGCCAGTGTCCATGCTCAAGAATTGCTTGGAACACTCTTGGAACCACAGTGGGCAGAATGCTGTGCTCTCCAAGTCTCTTGTCTGGCCGCCACACGTGCTGCATGTAAACAAGCGAAGCCTCTGCATCTGAATGTCTCATCGTCTCTCGTCGTCGTCTCTCATCGTCTCTCATCCTTCGCTGATGTTCGAGCTCTGGCCTGCGGCATGGTATCTAGCAGCACGTATCGCCTGAGAAAAATGAGAGACAAGGAGAAGAAGCACAAGTTGAAGATACGCAATGCATTCAAGGTGACCTGATGACTTGTGTATCCGAGTGCAAGGCTCCACATTCTCGGTGGATGCCTCGAAGACAAAGCGGAAGCCCAAAGCACCCGGGAACCAGCCCGAGTCGCCTGCAAAAAATTGAGCCAACTGTTCAAAGAAGGGCGCGGACTCAGGGCATCAAACTCTCTGCCTAGCAGAAGCCGTTGCTCATCTGGGAAAACGACTGGCACCTGTAAAAAGGCTACATTTGGCAGAGCGCACGCCCCGAAAAGCTCCAATCATCTCCAATCACCTTCCAGCCCAGCCTCCCAGCGCTTCCTCAGATGATCTGTCATGTCCGTAGGCTGACACAGGCAGCTGCTTGGCGGCGCGTCCTGGGTGGGGGGCATGTAGCTGCGGGGCGGAATGCGATGAATCATATCCGGGCATATGAAACCAGGAAGTTATCAGTCAAGCAGTTCAAAGTCTTGCTACACATAGCTCTACACAAGTGCATCATTCATTTACTGCTGCATCGCCAAGCCGCGGCCGTTGCCTCCGCTGGGGCTGCATCTGATCGCCTACTTCTCTTGATGAGTCAGGTCAGATGTTCTCAAGACCTGCGCTGGCACGGCCTGGCTGGCGTTCCACTGCGGGACACGAAGTCTGCATAGCGGCAAGTCACTGCCTTAAGCACACCGTGAGGAAAGAATCCCAATTTTCACCTCTTATGACACCTGGCATGTAGTTGGTTGCTCACAGCCCGTTGAGCTGAGGTCAGGTCTGTTGGATCTTGCAAGAAACTGCGCGGCACTTGATTGGCGGGAAAGGTGTACAGGTAGAAGTCCCCGTGGCAGAACCTCCCGCGAGCACAGCCCTGTATGGCAACGGGTCGAAAACACCAAGGCCAATGTCCTCCCCCAGGTCAGCACGCTTATCATCTGGTGGTTTTGTTGGGGGGGGTCCCTTTTTTATTTCTTTATTTCTGTATTTCTTCATTTCTTCATTTCTTCATTTCTTTATTTCTTTGTTTATTTATTTCTTTGTTTCTTTGTTTCTTTGTTTCTTTGTTTCTTTATTTCTTTATTTCTTTGTTTCTTTGTTTCTTTGTTTCTCTGTTTCTTTATTTCTTTATTTCTTTATTTCTTTGTTTCTTTATTTCTTTCTTTATTTGTGTCTTTCTTTCTTTTCTCTTTCGTTCTTTCTTTTTCTGTTTTTGCGCATTTCTTTCTTTCATTCCTTCTCTCCTTATCTCCTTTCCTATCCTGGGGCAAATCGAGGATTAAGGTTTGTAGATATAAAGGAAATACGGAACGGCTACAAAACGAGACCCAAACCAATGAGAATGGACCCTCCCTTATCACCCCCACAGGTCGGAACCAAGCGCCACTCTGAAACAGCTCACGAAAGGCCCCGCCAGAAAAAAGGATCCGCCGCTGTCAGGATGCCCGGCCCGACTGGCACCTGTCCAATGGCTTCCAGCTACCCGGGCACTTCAGGCACCACACCGGTGGCTGACAACACAAGATGAACCCCTAGTGCGCCTGCTGTCGCTTCAGTGCCAGCTGCTTCCGCCTCAACAACCAGGAAACAGCGTAAACACAATCAATAAAATCACAGGGCCGGAGAACTAAGAAGCACTGCAGGAGTTTCAAGCCCGGTCCGGCAAAGGTCAGCAGCCATCATTGACAGAACTCCACATATGACAGGGTCAAAAGGGTCTTCACTGACGTTTTGGGCAGGATTCAGCTTAAGCTGTACAGGTTCTCCACGGTTGACGTCCAGGACGAATGCGTAGATAGATTTTGGACTCTGTCTTCACAGCGGGCTTCCTCCCAAAACTTAAGAACCGGATAGGATTACGGCATTACGGTTCCACTTAGTTCTTCCAGTCAGGGGCTGGCCTTGCCCGACTATCCCGTTTATAGCTTAAACCGGGTGTGGTTGGACTTGTGTGACTCTACCACAAGCTTCGGCTCAGAGAACAAAAGGAGTCCAGGCCTGATGGCACTCATCTGCTGCTTCTTGTCGTCTTCGAGCGACTTGAGTCCAATGACGCCCCCACCTGCATTTTTGGAGTCATTGCGCCCTAGCAATGCTCCCGTGCCCCAGCCTTGCTTGTTGAAGAATGCGGATCGGGATCTCGGCTGCAGCAGTGCTTGCAACTTCTGCTTTTGGGTTCAGAGAGCCCACAATCTTTTCAGATGTCCAGCAAGGCATAAGCCGAATCTGTCAGCAATCAGCCAAAAAAAAAGTGAAATCAAGTGCCCCAAATTCAGCGGAGAAACTTCCACGAATGTCAAAGCACACAATAAGCCGGACCCTTGCCATCATACTGTACGAGTGCAAGTCATATTCAACCACCTGGGGTTTCGGCAAGGAGTTTTTGCCTTTGCTCGGCTCCTGGGGCAACGAAGATCCAGGACATTGACTTGGACCAAACTGGCAGGTTGTTGTGGTTTGTCTCATATTTCGGTCCCAGCGTCGCGCATGGCGCTTGTCGGCCGGGCCAATTGGTCAGGCTCAGGCCTCAGAGAGCAAACAGGGCAAGAATTTACATGACGCATCAATTGTACAGTGCCGAATGAACACGAAGGACAACTACCTATGGACATGTAAGACGGCAGAAGTCCACAAAAACTTGCCCTGCCAAGCTTCAACAGGGAGGGGACTGGGCAGGGCGGGACATTGAAACAGTGCTTGGGGGACTCGGGCCTATGAAGGCTGAACCTGTGCAGCAGGCGTTGTCTCCTCTTTGCTGGGTTTTCAGTGTCGTGCCTGCCGGCACCTGCGGTGGTATATTCTTTTGCCGAGCCCGCCGTTTGTTGGCAAGCAAGGCGTCGTGCTTAGTTATTCGAGCTTTGTCTGGCCCCAGCTGGAAGCAGAGATCCTTCGAACTGCAGGGTTCTCTTGGCTGAGGGAGTATGAGCGCTAAGCCCTCCGAGGGCGACGAGGGAAGCACTTGGCAACCCCGTGCTGCAGCTCAAGTGTCCGAGCTGACCGGGAAGTCACTTGCGCCAAAATCCCCGTTAGAGTGAGTTGGACCAGGCATTATTTCGTTTCCTTTGCGACCGCCGCATAATACGGATCCGATTGTGTTCTAAATGAGCTGGTGCGGTGCGCCACGTGCTGGGGCTCGAGGTTTGGTGAAGCTGTGGGCCACGGCGCCCGCCTGGTACTGTCTTCGGACCGGATTCTGGGTGACCACTGCGTCCACCACTGTTCTACACCGCTGCTGCCAGGAAGTTTCGGCCTCACAGCGATTGCTGAGCTGATCGTCTGGCCCGCCTGCTTGTTGAAGTTTTGTGACTTGACTATATGGACGAATGGTTCACAGTGCTCGTATGTATGCCTTTGCATTCCTTGTTGCATTCCTATCGCCGGTTGGTTACGCATGTGTCCAAAGAGTTCCATCGACACGCTCGGGACCACTTGAGCCATTACAACATCGGCCCCCGATGCCGTAGTGAGGCAAGCTATGCTTCCAGCCACAGCAGGCCCTTGAGGCAGCGATCCAGGCAAGGGAGGCACAAACCCAGCAGTCGATGGGTGCGGGATTGAGCTGATGTTCATTGGGCTTAAGGACTCAGGCTCTGCAAGGCCTCCGGATTGGACCTGGCCTCCCAAAGACAAGGCTTGACGGGCTTGGGACTGTTTCGGGCCTACGAGCCGGCCCGGGCACTCCTCCAGGTGCCCCACGCGCTCAGACTTGAGCGGGGGACAGGGGAGCTGGAGGTCCTTCTTTGCCTTTCTCCCTGGAATATGTGGGGCGTTTTGGTACAGGGACGGAGATGAAGGGGGTCTCCTAGGCCTCCCTTCCCAAGTTGCAAGCACCTCTGCAAAGCACTTCTTGCAGCCTGGATGCGCACCAGGCCCTCCTTTGCAAGAATGGAGCAGACAATCGAAAGGCATCAAGTCATCGGCACAGCCAGTTCGAAGCCAGTTCGATGCCGCTCCTGCCGTCAGCAGCATTCGCATCTGCTTGGCCGCCGATGGCTTGGTTGTAGGCCTGGAAGCTTTATTGAAATTGGCACGCCATTCTACACAAAATCGCCCTAATCTCGCATCTTGTCGGTTACTGTGCCCCGCTGCTCAAACTTCTGGAAGACCTTAGGTCGCTAACGATTCATCTCGAGGAAGGTCATGATCGTCAGCCACCTGTCACATTCAGCACGCACTGCTCCTCGCAAAGGCCTGAACTTGTAACTAGTAGCCACTTCTTCGGGATAAACCTATGCCTACGCTGTCCTACGCCTATGGCGTGGTGCATGCATACCGAGGTAGTTGCCCTGTGAGGGGGTGCCACCCGATTGGAACGCTGCTCAGTAGCAGGCTTACCAAAACCACTGCCATGCTACCCACGCCTTGAACCAGCACTGGTTGTTCAATCGATCCTGGCCTCAGGCCCACACACCACATGCACGCGCATGCCTACTTCCTCACATTCCCCTTACAAGAACTCCTTGTCAATGAACGGTGACAGGCGCATCATGACAAAAAGGCACGATACATCAAACTCAGCTGGTCATCAAGAAAAGGAAGGAAGCATCCTTGCTGAGCCCGGAATTCAAAAGACTGCTCGCGCGCTTCCAGATGCTTCCAGAATTTCTGGAACATGGCATGGTTGTGTCCAGCCCCGGAAGAGGCGCTGGACAGCGCCTACTGGTGCTGCTGCCTCGAATATGGCTCATTGCTGGTTGCAGCTTGCTGTGATTTACAGTTTGCACACCGCCCGGAGAAAATCCTTCAACTCCAGCTTGGCGCCGGCTTGCGAGAATTCGGTTTGCCAAAAGCAGAAAGAAGCTTCATCTGTGTAGGTGCAAGGGACCGTTTGCAATGCCATGATGACAACCTGACCTTGGACGAAAGGCGAGTGAAAGAGAAGCAGTGTCGTGCATCCTTGACCCTTAAAGACCCTTGCGTGCTCTGCACATCTATGGCACCTTGGACTCACTGAACCTTCAAAACTACCACTTGAGGACGTTTGTGGGGGCATTTTTGTCATCTTGGCCCATGGCCAGGTGCAAGGCTGAAGGTGGCACGGTCCGCCTCCACGGCCTGCTCAGAGAAAGAACGGAGGACATGACTCCGAGACTCGGGGCTCCAATTTGGGGGGGTTTCCCGAAAATAGGGGGGGTGCGCTTTTTTGGGGGTCCTATTCTATCTGGGGTGTAGAAGGGGTACCCGTATTTTGGGAAATAACCCACTGGCTCCAACATCTACAACCGGCCTTCGAATCGTCTATGCTGCACAGGATCTTCTCGGTGCCGGCGTAGAAATACTGGAAGACTTTGTGCAGTGGGTAGCAGTGGCCATAACCTGATACTCTGCAAATCTCTGCAGCAAACCTGCCAACTCTGGAATCAGCCGTGCGCTTCTGCAGAAATGCCACCGGGGCGATTCGATACTGGCTAGGTGATCAAGTTTGTGGGCACTTCAGGCCCTGCGCACTGCAATCTTACCATGGGAAGTCACGTGAGCTGCGGAGACCCCCTCGAGAGAGCGCGCTGAGCCTGCGACACACGGTCGGCACCTTAACTGCAAAATGGACAATGTCATGCAAGCTTCATTGGCCCCTCTCCGTAATTTTATTCTGGGCGATCGGCCGTGGGCAGCACCAACGGATAGAAAGGGTTGGCACCCTTGCACAACAAGGGCTGAACGGTCGACATGCAACGGCTCGCGGTTTGGCCTTCTTATGATGACCCACGTGTTGACCCGCTGCCAGGCCAGCAATACCACAGCGCCGATAGCAGCGCCTCCACCAAGGAAGCAAAAGCAGACCCTGGCAGACTTTCTTTGCGCCCACGCTTCATGAGCCTACGGCCGATGACATGCCAATGCGTCGAAACACTTTCCAAGGCACCGGCTTCACAAATGGCAGCAGGTGTGCACTGTGACACCACTGGTTGAACACCTGAGACTGACAGGGAGCCAGAATCTTGCAGGGTCCAACAAGCCTTCGTAGATTCTTTTTGTGGTGCAGAGTTGGCCTCGAAATGATGTTTCAAGCCAAGTGGAGACTCACAGCCAACCAGGGCACAGCATACCTGCAAACGCCATCTCTTGGCTTCAAAGATTTCTCTGCCATGCTCAGTTCTGAGCAGGCCTGCACGTTGCTCAGAAATCTCTTGGAGGTGACTTTCGAGCCTGATGGCAGGCTCAGGCTCTCAGACGCCCTCCCATTGAAGACGGGCTTCTTGCAACATTGCTAAACACTGACACTACTTCTGGCGCCTGATCTCACATCAGCCTCCGGTTTGTCTTCGTTGCTCATCACGGAGTCCTGTCAGGTCGACTTCTATATAGGACAAATCTCAAATCTCTTGCGGCTTGCTATCTATCAACCTGAAAGAGAGAGATAGAGAGAGAGAGAGGGAGAGAGGAGAGAGAGAGAGAGAGAGAGCCCAGCTAGTCTCAATGGTCCTGCGACTGACTTCGAAGAAAGCTGTGGCTCCTGCCATGACAACATCTCCAGCTGGAGGAAACATGCTGACGAAAGGCATGGCTCTGGATGACATGCCACCTGCCGAATTCAGGTCCGAGCTTTGTCCAGCACGCGACTGCGCCAGGGATCGCCCAGCGCCGAATGCACGAGAACTATGACTGATCGGGTGGGATGTGCAGCTGGCACGGTGAAACCGATGCCAGACGTCAGAGGGTGCCTGGGTGTGGCTGACGTGCCACGCCTTACCAAACTGCTACCAAGGCTTGTCTTCGTAGTCGTAGCGGACGGAGCCGCCACTGATCCAAACATCCTGGTGAGATTGGTGGGAGCTACTGCTCATTGTACCTGGCGTGCTGGCCGCAATGGTGCGGGGCACAGACCCTACATACTTTTGAATGCCTGGCACCATGGTCCATCTCACGCGAGCGCTCCGGCTTGTCTTCCCTGGTGACTTCGAGGGGTCCGGTTTCCTACGCATGCGCTCCAGCTCATCCACCACCTGTTGCCTGTCCGCGGAATCGTAAGGCTGCCGGCTAGCATAGTAGTCACCGTCCTCATCCTCTTCTTCCAGCTCATCCAAATCGATATTCTGCAGGTCAGGGCCTTCACCATAAATTTCTTCAAGCGCAGCTTTGGCCACCTCTGGCGGCATCACGTACTCCCCACCCACAGGCTGGGGCCGCGAGTAGGAAAGGAACTCATTCACCCAGTCGTCATCCCGTGCGATGTTGTTGACCTGAGCTATCACGGAGCTCTCAGGTATCACCGGTATCGCTCTGCCTGTGGTTGTGTCATCGGCCCGACTGTTCAGCACCCCAGTCTAAGGTGCCAACTTTTCTCATTTGCTTGTTGAAGAGCTTCTTTGACAAGCCCCTCGTACCTAACTTCTTCATGTTTGCCACGTTCTTCATGACCTTCTCCTTCTTCCTCAGACAGAGCCCAAGCACCACAACATGCAATCCAGTGCACATATTGGCAACTACTTGGGGTGTTTGCTGTAGGAAATGTTCAGCATCAGATCATTCGACAGGGCGGTTGGGGGCAGAGACACGCGCCCCAGAACCGTCACCCGACACTCCCCTGTCAACTTCCTCTTATTGTTGGGGGGGAGTTCAGTGAAAGTGCAAGCAAAGCCGCGTTAGTCTTTTGAGCGCCTGCATCTGCACTCGCCTTGTCCTCGACTCTGGGCTGCTGCGTCCGATGACAAAGCCAAGCCAACCCGGGCCTCGATTGCATGATCTTCTGTTACATGAAGCAAAGGCCTCATGCCTCATGCACCAGCACGTGCACCATGGAGCTGTTCCAGCTGAGCCTCTGAAGCACGCTAACGTTATGGCCACAGCAGCGGCCACAGCAGCGGCCAGGAACGGGCGACGCATCCTGAGCATCGCCGCCTCGGCACCTTGGGAGGGCACTGGACGGCACCCACTTCATCACGACCTCTCTGGCTCATGTGTGACTACTTGTTCTCATGTGTGACTAATACGCCAAGCTGGCCAACCGGGAACAAACATCGAGCCAGAACGCGATTTCGCACCTACCCGAGCGGTTTCTCCCTTTCATCATGCGGTTTTCGAGCTCTCGCATATTGATCCTGATCTGTTGGTGCGAGTAGCAGGTCGCACTCGCAATGTCTGAGGGGCGCGATTTAATTTGGCATGTCGAGCATGTTCGTGCAAGTACTTGATGTTCATTTGAGGGGTCCCGGTCTCCATCGATTGAGCAGATCGTCCCCCAAGTTCTGCCTGGTTTGCTCCATCCGTCCAGAAACGGTCGATCCATCCCGCGAAAATTGCAGGCCAGGCTTTGGGACTGTGGGCAGCTCCCCCAAAAGAGTTTGCGCTGATTGATCGTGCTCTGCTGGTGTACTGGCCCCATCCTCATGGAAAGCCCGCCATGGTGCCTCATCCCTCGCAAGCTTTGTAGAGCATTTCAGGAGAACTTGCTCTTCAGGGCTGCCCCCTCAACACTATCTTTGTTACGAGACTTTTATTCATGTGTCATTGTCAAACTCAGTTCATGTGACTTGTTCTGCGCATAATTCGTCTGGTTTTAGTAAACACACATATACACACACACACACAACATCTTGTGCCAAAATGTGCTTAACTAGTTTGCTCAACTATCGAACAAGCATAGCGAGCTTCTTTTTGTTACCTTTCTCAAGGGTTCTGTAAGCGGGACCGTCCAATATGCACCATAACACCTTGCACTTATGTGTGTACAGTTTCGACGCACGCAATGAAAGCCAAGCCAGTCAAGGCGAGTGCCTTTGGACAAGAATGCCAAGCAAGGAGCCACACGAAACACTCATAAAAGACATTCCCCCACACAATGCACCTGCCATCGGGGAAGCTGACAGGCCAGGCTTGCGAAGTGGAGCCAAACGTGGAACCCACGGATTGTGCAGTGTTGCAAGAACTTGCTCAAACTACCAACGCTATTGCCAGCGGATTTCCAAGCTATGACAAGTTGCAATGACAAGCTATAACAGCTGCAAAGCAGCGCCCCCGCGTGTACGCACTTCAATCAGCGGCCTCATCGCAGCTGACAGTGGGACTGTTTGCCTAAGTCAGCGGGCATCGTTTGGTGTTAAGAGTTCACCCTAACTTGAGGTACACGTGGAACATACGTGTTTTGAAGGAGGTCTCCTCGTTCAACCATCCGATACATGATAAGATCTTCATGGCAGCAACACTGTAGAGAATTCCTTATGACAACATGTTCACGAAAATCGAAAGACGTCGCCGAGCAGGTGGCAATTCTTGTGCCAGTGCTGTGGTGGGTAGGGCTGGCAGAAAGAATTGCAAGGCATGGTCATGCTGGAGCACCCCCCCCACCCCCCCTCCAGCTTAATGATTCTGGCTCAAGAAGTGCGACCATGCCACACATGTCCAGGAGCACGTGCGGCCTCATGCCACATGTTGCCATGAATGTCTGATACCACCTGAACTTGTACTCCTTTACATGCAGCCGCGAGAAGCCTGGCGGGGTTGCAAGGTCCCAATGTCTGCGGCGGCAGGAGCCCTTGGATGATCGAAGGCTTGCTGGCAACTTAACGAAAACTCTGCTTGCGTGCCGTCTCTTATGATAGTACTGAGACCAACACATTGGAAGCGGTAAGCGAAGCATGTCCAGTGACTCATCGTGCAATCCACTGGTGAGCCCGTCACCGAGCATGCCTGCTGCCAGCACATTGCCCGTGCCCGACTACTGAGTCCAAAAAGTTGCCGGAGCCAAAGCGCCTCGTAAGATGCTGGCCAGAAGCATCCCGTGCCGGCTGCGGGAGTGCCTCGCAGCATGCAGGGAACTCTTCAGGCGCTCCAGCCCCGTTATGAAAAACCCAGCTGAGCGCGTTAGACCACACTCCGGCTGTGCCCCCTGTAAGAGCTTGGCATGTCCATGCGGTGAAACTCACGATACCATGGCCTTGGCAGGGGGCTTCTGCATATGCACTGCGCAGGGCAAAGCAACCGCAGCCCAGCGCAGCCGGGTCACATGAGCCCCACTTCCCACTGCTTGCAAGCAGGCTCGGGCAAGTTCTGGTAGGCCCCAGGATCGATGCCTCGTTTCGGCACTGCATGGTCTCATGATTTTGCCACTCAGTTCGGGTCAAGATCTGGAGGTGCGGAACGATGAGTTTTTGCAACTGAGCTGCTGAAATGGAGGCGTAAAACCTCAAGTTCAGGCAAGCAGCTGACGTCGCGGAAGCACAACTCCCGCATGAAGTACACAGCACACACAAGAACCATGTTGGGTTAGTTCTAGTGTCGGCCCCCGACAGACTTAGCCATGTTCAATCCTCCGGACCTAGGCCATGTCATCGAGGCATGTCTGCACCCCCGCGTGGTTTGCACACAGGTTCGCACATCAAGCCGACGAAAGTGTGCAGCAGGTCATACCTCGCATGCCAGCACTGACCAACCCTTTTCGCGCAGCTGCCCACCGAATCCGGCAATCCGGGTTCCGGACTCCCCGAGGGCGGACAGCGCCTGTCGCACCTCCTGGGCCTCCATGCCTGGCACCCCCAGACACCAAGCACCCAGGGACGTTAGTGACCGTTAGTGCAAGCCACAACTGATACATTTCGATGCCCTGTCCGGGGAGCCTGTGGCCACCATGCCGTCTCCTTGCGAGCTCTTGGCCTGCGGAGCGCGAAACAAACCTTGATCTTGCGCACCAGCAGCGGACAGGAGAGCCAAGCAAACAGTGGACCTGTTTATCCTTCTTGCCGACACCCTGCTGTGAGGCGTGTATGTACTGACCTTGTCTGGACAGAAGTGCTCAAATACCATCTCTGATCTCGGAGTTATGGCAGAAGCGCTGCGCAGATTCAAGACAGCGTTGCGGGGCTAGGAGGACCGTGGATAGTTCTTCAGGCCACAGCCGAGTTTAGAAATCTTGGTCTTGGATGTTCACGGACTTGAGATCGGTGGAGGTTGTTGGGGCCCATCCTTGTATTTTCGGTGCAGCTCGACCCTGTCGTTGTGCATGCTGTAACTTGCCGTTGCCCCTGCATCTCTCCATACTTCGATTCGGCCTGGGCAAGTGCTGTAAACTACGCTGCTGTAATTCGCAGGACATGCGAGCCAATATTTGTGGTGTTGGAAATGTCATCGTGCTCTCGGATTGCAGTGGACCAGAGAAACGACAAACGGAGACCGGAGACGAAGGACCGGCGGACCACCAGACGGTGGACCGCGAGACAGTACCACGGGACAAGCAGACTGGGGGGGGCGGGGGTCAAACCAAAGCCACACCGAGTGATCCACGCCTTTAACACAAGCCTCAGCGAAGCCATAAGAAGCTCCAAGTGGCCGCATGAGCAGCGTAGTCCCGGAGCCTTGTCCGTGCGAGGCGAAGGCCCACCTCTCACGGCAAGAGAGGGATAAACACAGAGAGACAGAAAGGGAGGAGTGAGTGCGCGAGTGTGAGACTGAGCGTAAGAGAGAGTAAGAGAGAGCAAGAGAGAGTAAGAGAGAGTAAGAGAGAGCGAGCGAGGGAGGGAGAGAGAGGGAGAGAGCGAGAGTGCTTCCGGAAGAGACCAGGGTCATCAACCTGTCAACCCACAACATGGCGAATAGAATGCCTGAGATTGTCTTGTGCGGCTTTTGGGCGTGGGGAGGGGGGGGGGAGGGGATGGCGCAACGGATGTCAAGAAAATTTCTCGGCAGCCGCTGTCCAGTGCACCCCCGAGATTTGGCGTTTGAAGAGGAGAAAGGAACGCGGACCCCAAAAAGGGCAAAAGGGTCCTGCTGCCAAGCAGTGTGTTTTCCACGTCAAGAGTTTCCACGTAAAGAGCTGCAACATGCAGCCGGCGGGGGGGGGAGGCTTGCTGCGAGTTGAAAAGCCACCACATGGACATCTTGACGAAGTTTCCTCCCATTGACATAGGCACTGCATGGGGTGGCATGGTCTGGCCTCCAAAGCCTCCCATCTGCGTGTTGAAAGACCAGGACTTTCTCGAGTCGCTGTCCTGCTCCACTACTCCATCTGAACTGCGAGAAAACATTGCGGAACACATGCAGACCTACCTACCATAAACTCACACTGATGAAGACATGCCATGGATTGGCCTGCCTATGAGCCTATGATTGAGCCTATGACATACTGGTCAACACAGAGTACGTTAGGCCAGTTGAGGCCTGCAAACCTTCTTGACATGCCCGCACATGGACGGCCCAAGGATGGGAGACATACCGGACCCAGTACAACCCTTGGACTGTTTTCTGACAACCTCTGCAAGCTTGTAGCACATGGAGAGAGGCTCTCCGCGCCTCGTCATCTCCAGCTTCAGATGCAACCTTGGCACACAATTGTCAAGGTGGCCGGTACAGCTCTTTTGAGGGCGCTGCATCCCTATCCAACCTGAGCCTTGACATCATTAACAGTATTGCAAACATGCCAAGGAACTTCTGAAGGAGCACCGCTCTCCAGACCGCCATCCACGTTGGAAACGAGGGACCTCTTTGCGACTGTGGTCGACTGACAGAGGGCGGTTTCCGGAACTAAAATGAAGAAATGTGACGAACACCCCTTTCAGCACTCCCAGTTCACGCAAAAAAAGGAGGGCCAAAGATGCTTCGACGCATCTGTGGATCTGTGGCCATGGCATCGTCTTCTGCGAGCTGGATCCTGACTGCTTCGTCAAATATACATACTATATATATACACACACACATATATATATATAATTATTTACATGTTGTCTTCTTTTACGGAGCCGCTGCCACTTGCTCCGAGCTGTGCATTGGGATTCTTCGGGCAGCTTTACGTCATCCAGACGGGGGCTTGGAGGAAAGCGGCCGACACCCCTGAAAGCTTCGCTGCTGAACCCGAGAAGTTGCCAATGTTTGCTTGGGGCTTTCGAAATATAGCTCTCTACAACGGCGCCGTTGCCAAGGTTTCTTTTCGGATCAAAGTTGAGCAAAGCCTCAGAAACAGATGAACGGGTAAAGTGTACCTTTACTCAGAAGCCCTCTCCGACAGAACAGATAGATTTTACAACATTTGCGACTGCTCGTATGTGTGCATACGGCGTTACGGAAGCCACTGGGAGATGAAGCACACTGGATTGGCAAAGAGCCTTTTACAGCTAACTGGGGCTCATGATCAGCGACCGTTAGCGCATGTATGCTCATGTTCTTCATCTGGTACCGTCTCGATCATGCAGGTACGAGTCTTGATGCTTAGAGTCTGCCGGGGTCAATTCTTCCTGGGGCCGCCACGTGTTGCCTTATCTTGCTCCTCACCATCGCCCCCTGTCAACTCGCGACACCACAGGCAATCGCCCAAGTGAGGATTCAGACCCATCACCATCATGACCCATCCCTTTGCAGCTGACGTGGTGAAGTGCAGCCTTCTCCATCAAGATGCAGACCCGCCACGCTGTTCTTGCTATCACCACGATGAACATGACGGTGCGACCGCGGTGAGATGTTCTTCGCGAGCTTAGCAGTGGAGGGCGAGTCAAGAAGGACAATGCTCTGATGCCGCAGGCACCACCACCGGAGACAGCTCAGAATGGCTGATCCTACGAAGTGGATTGGACCCTACTCTGCGCATGCTCATGTTCACATATGCTTTGCGCAGCTTTGCATACAAGACTGGTGACGAGCAGAGCAGTCAGAGCAGGCCCCCGACTCTGTCCGGTCCATGTGCGGGACACACAAAGGCGACCTGCCTGCCGACAGAAAGGAAATTCCAGGAACGTATCGCGGCTGAGGACAGATCCTCGTCGATCTCTCGAGATAATGTTGCATTCAAATGGCGACATGCTGTGACCGCCTCGTGATGACAAACGGAGACAAGAACGAGGCTTGCGTGTGAGGCACGGGCACCCCGATCTCACACACCTGCTGGCAAATGAAATCGCTTCTGTGGCATTCTGCCGTCGGAATGCGCCCTAGAGGAATCTCAGGCATGTGGCCGTTTGGCACTGGACGGCCAGTCCAGAAACAAGCGAGCAGCGCAGCTGCGAATCCTGCCTTAAGGCCATTCCAGCAGTACCACTTCTCGGCATCATTGCGTATCTTCTCACTGCCGGTCTGCTCAGTGCCTCCGGTGTCAAGTCACGAAACCGATGTATCAGCAGATTGTCCAAAGCAACTGTCAGCCCTGTGAGTTGTGCTCGACATGTGTCATGCCTCCCACTACAGCCACGTGACTTGTGCTGGTGGTGCAGCAACCCAGCGAGCAGGAGTAGGTGTAAAGCCGCGCAGCCAACCTGGTGAATGTGCTTTTTCTTCGGGTCCGACAAAAGCCTGCTGCTTACCTCATCCGCACAGTCACTCTCATGCTCACCATCTTCTGAGGTTGAGTAGCTCCACTTGGCAACTGCACTTGTTGTCCTCGGAATATCTGGCAATATAGCCCTTGATCAAGGAGGGGCTGTTGACCTTAATTGGTATCTTTGCTGCCCGCGTGCGACACTAAATCGTTGCAAAATGCCGTGAGCGAAGCACCGGCCGAGAGGCCCATGCAAGTGGGTCAGACTCTCGCCCTCGATGCTGTGGCCGGCCATAGAAGATAATGACTGCCTGATGTCTATCGACCAAACGCCAACTCTAGCTCGAGTTCTTCATGGATAGTTCTCCAAATTGGGTCCTACGGCACGCTATAAATGGGACCCCCCCAAAAGGGACGCTAATTTAGAGAACTACCCTCCTTGCCAAATGCGAAAAGGTGCTGGGAAGTCCAGAAACTCGTTCATCTCAAATACCTTGGTACATCTTGGTACTCAACTGGAAGCACTGATGAACTACAAACTTAGATGCTGGAACTGATGTTCGAAGGCCCACCTGACCCTTGCAAGCTTCGGTGCCGGGTCGGGCCCACAAGAGATGTTCGACATTGGCACCGATTAGTCGTCACATCCGCAAATCAGGAGCCGGATTGACGGCAAGGGTGCCGCGCGGCGTGCTGCACTGCACTGCCCCCTAACGAATCACGAAGGTGTCTCCTCCGGTAAAATGGCTTCGAAGATTGCCTCCGTACCCAGACGGTAATCAGGACCGAGAAGCAACGCGCTGCACCATTGCCCGTTTAGAAAGTACACTGTAGGAGCCATTGTACTGAAGCTTGCCATCATGACCATATAACAATGATTTCAGCGGGTGCGAGGGGTGGGAAACCGTGTTCTACATCCTATGCTGGGCTTGCACGTGCAAGCAAGTTCAAGCTCGCCAGCCCGAACCCTGTACCGGATGCTGGCCAGGCAGCCGTGCGGCTGTCCGATGCGCCAGCAGCCTGAAAGAAAGGCATCCCGTGTATGGAGGAGTCTGCTGCCTTTTGCTGCAGAAGCATGTTTGGTCTAATCGCCGGGTTCGCAATGATCTAGGCCAGAATCGAGCATGTCGCAGTGTTGTTCTGCAAGCTTGTGAGCTTCTAGCTAAAGTCGACAACTTCAGCTTGGTACGCTTCAAGCACGGCAAAATACAGCATGAACGGCATTAGGATTCTGTTGGCAAGAGCATGTTGAGGTTTCGGACATTGGAATCGTGGCAATTGCCACGTCTCACATCATCGGGAAACAAAAGCCATGGTAATGTTAGCCGCAATGATGATTGAGATGATTAGCACATATGAAACGAATCATCTCATTGTAGTTACTCGGCCATGGATCCGAGGGTCGCGGCTGGAGCAGACTATGTTTCCAACGCATGCGTTTCAGCAAGCGAAACCGCCATCAAATCAACAAGTCAAGAGCCAGCCACTTCAAAGACATGACAACCCTGCAAGCCGAACTCGGACATGCAGCCTATGGTATTTCACATCTCACACGCTTCAGCAGCAGTCATGTTGCTAACATCGGCACGTCCGTAGAAAGCAGAAAAAGCAGAAAGATTGGTGGGCATGCCAGGAACTGTTTGCACAGCATGCACTGTGCACACAACAAAATGTGCAAGGTACTTGGCTTCATATGCACAACAACGGCAGCGAATGCCAACGGCGTGGTTGCGGTAGTGTTGCGAAAGCCTGTGCTGACCGTATCATGCCAATGACTGCATGGTTCGCGGCGCGCAGCAACGTTGGACCCGTTTGTTCCTGGTCTGCCATGATTATGCTACCAGACATTGCAATCCCATCGCTCAACGCATACGCACACCTTTGACTGTGGGGATTCTGCATTGAAGTTGGCTCTGCTTCCGCCCCGTATGGCTCGCGACGTCCCGTGTCCAGTCTGTGTTGCGGCCCGCAGGGGTTTCGCGGGTGGCCTTCTTGCAATTCGTTGAATGCCGAGGGGCTGAGGCTTCCGGGGACTAGGAACGAGAAGTGCGACAAGAAAAAAGAGTGTCTTCCTTCCCTCCTTCCTTCCTTCCAGCGCTCGCTCGCTCTCGGAGCCGAGAGCCTTGTGGAAGTTGTACTGGTCCCCAATATATTGCAGCCTTGGCGGGTGCAGCTGCTTAACAACACTGCCCTTCGCATTTCAGAGTATCTCTGAAAAGCCTCTCAGGCTGGCGCCATCGAAGGTAGGAAGGCGTAGGGTCAACCCCAGCATACAACACCTGGCCATCCCACGGGAGGAGCACATGGGCGACTCAGCCTAGGAAACCAGCTAGCAGCTATCTGAGGCGCTTGCAAGTGTGCAAAGGTATATTCAACAAAGGTGAGTTGAGCCCATTGGCCCATTGAATCCATTCCGCAAGAAGTTCTCGGCCTGCCTGCCGCTCTGGAGAAAAAAGTAGCGCCGACAAGGCCACGAAGGAGTCGATGCAAATGATGGGCACCTGTTCCTGGATGCTGCTAAACTACCTCTGGTCTCTTGGGGCATCCAAAGTTCAGGCCCTCCCAGCAGCATGCGTCGACTTTGTTTGTGCTCCGTCCGGCTGCAGGGCTACAGGAAAGTGTGACATAAAGACGCAAAACATATAGCCAAGAAGAACGCAAGCCAACTTAAGCTCAGGTTGGACAGATGCTGATTCATCTGTGGACGCTTCGACCAACAGGACGTGCACAGGTCTCTTGTCTGTTCGTTTTTCACACAGAGCTTGAACACAAAAAGTCCTCGATCCACAGATTGCGACCAAAGCTCCGGCGGATCTTCCAGCTTTGACACGACTTTCCTGCTCGCCAAAGCCTCTCGATAGTGCGAGCCTGCAAACACGACATATGAACGACAGCTTAAGTGACTTTTTGCACATGAGCGGTCATGGATGCATGATTGAACAGAGGTCTGTGCCGATCATGAGCAGCAGCCAGTACACAGCATTGAATGGCTTTTCCTTACAGCAGGGTTCCATAAAGGGCTGAATCGCACAGCAAGTATAGATATCAACGCGAAAGGCCCAACGATGTAACAAGCTGCAAAGCATTTGCCCAGTGTCGATGGCTGTCTTGCATCGCTGGCACCACCTCTCGAGCTCACCTCCCACGATCACCCTGTAGTCTGTGCTTCCGAAGTCCAGGTAATGTCGCCTGGCAGGTTCCAGGTGATCTGAGCGCTTTTGCTGCAGATCTCGGGAAAGCTGGCATGCCGATCTGAGCATGGAGCCAAGCAAGCTTGAAGGTGTGGAATGAACGCGGGTCAAACCTGCAACAAATTGACAAACCACTGGCCACAAAACCATTTTTCAGTTGCGTCTGCACAAAGACACAAAGCATTAAAAAGACGAAGAGCTGGAACATGGGGCGGAAAAGCTGCTTCGGCTCGATCAACAGGGTTGTCACTGGAACTGTTGGCCTGTGTTGTTTGGTTCGTGCGGCGTTCACGGCATGCACCGGACTAGCAGCTAGCAGCAAGGAGTAAGCAGTAGCTGCTTCGCTGGCTCAGCTTTGCATGAGGGCCTCAGCTTACTCGCAGTGCATGCCGAGTAGCTGGTAAACAAAGGCACAGCCAGGCTTGTGCACAAACGAGACAACGCAAGAAGTCCTGCATGCGATGCCCCTCCTGGGACGACGCAGCGAGTCGCACAACACAGCCTCTTGCAACAAGTCCTTGACTTTTTGATCTCGTTCTCCCAGCTGTGTTGGTACCACAGAACGATCGGAAAGCTGATGTGCAACCTGGTTGATTCTGCATTTCTAGCAGCTCTAGCGTCTAGCGACAGTGCGAGCCAAGCACCAAATGAGCCGGGTTGGCACATCACGACAAGTTCCTCCGGAACTGCTCTGGCCAACTCAGGCTGACACCTCCCACCGTGTGCACCGGAAGACCTGCGTTGCATCAGGGTGCAGGGTGTTCTTTCGGATCCGCTTCCCTCGATATCGCTCTCAGACCTTTGATTTTAACCCGACCTCTCCCACGTAAAGTTTTGCCCGCCCGCCAGGCTTCGAACACGCTCCATCGCCTGAGCAGACGGCTGGTTTCCAAACTTTGCGAGGCCGAGATGCATGATTCTAAACTGTCATGTCCAACAAACATGGGGTGCAGTCTCCTGTGTCATGGTTTTCTGTTTGGTTGTGCGTTTTGGTGTGTGTTTCTTTGCTCTGCGTTTGCTATCCCAGCGCGACCTCGGAGAGTGGAGTGGGGTTATTCTCCACGTTGACGAGTTCCTGGAAGGAGCAGAGGGGAGCCTGCGCAGAGTCTCGCAAGTACTTTGCATGCCGAAACGATGAGGAAGCTCTTGACACACGACCTCTGGCTTACTTAAAATGTGGAAACAGGCGGAAACATGCTTCTCGAATCCGTGCCTCAAATGGCTGGGATTGCCACTTCCAGTGCCCTTGCCCACGCTCGCGTCGCTGAGAAGCAAACTCATGGACCTTCACGCACGCCGACGCAACACATGGTCTAACTGGCTCGAACTGGGTCGAACTGGGTCTGAACTGTGGCAACCGGGAGAATCCTCGACCGTCAACATCACTGCAAGCAGGGGACCGGGGTCTCGGGCTTCTGGGCAACTTCCGCCTCTTGACCGGCCTGCAAACACTGCAAACTGCACGTCTTCAATGCGCATTCGTGAATTCGTGAGCGGATGCAATGTTTGCGCGAAGTAGGCATCAAGATTGGATGCTGTATAATATTAGTTTACAAGTTTTTAATGAACGCTTTTCAGCTCGCACAGATGCCATGTGGCAAGCTCTGCAAGGTGCAGTGTTAAATTCTGTTAAATGTTGCGGAAACCGTTATTCTATGTTACTCTCTCGTGCTTCCTGTCGTTCGTTCGCTCAGCGCATGGAGACCGAGGCCTCCGGGAGCGAACTGCCCCCCGGATTCGGGCTCGTGATCGAACGAGTACTTCGACAGATTTCGACAGGGAATCTTGTCAACGAGCCCGCAACTTGGGCAGCAAGATCGAGAATGAGTTCTACACATGCTAGTCGAGGGGGGAAGCTCGTCACCCACCAAAACGGAAAGGCGCATGGGAGCGAGGTGGTGGACGTGGAAGCCAGTGGGGCCATTGGACCTCCGTGGCGTTAGCAGCCTTGTGCAAGCCTGTCCTTGCTGCAGACCATGTGGTCGTCGTCCGCGTCGCTGTCGTGTGGTTGGTCCCCGTGTTGTGCCGCCGCATGCTCGTGCTGGAGCGGTTTGGGATGGTAAGGGGGTGCTTGGGCCTGGTTGTGCTTCCACTGTGCTTGCGGTCCCAGGTGTTGTTCAGTGTGGGGCCCCAACTTCTTAAGTGTTGTAGCTGTTGCCCTTGCTCGACCAGTGGTTCCCTTCACTGCGACTGAGGTGTCGCCGGCTTTGTGCGGGCCGGCAGTGTTTGTTTGGGCTTCTTATTCTTCTTCTTCTTATTATTAGTCTTCTTCTCCTTCTCATTCTTCTTCTTCTTATCATTATTCTTCTTATTCTTCTTCCTTCTTCTTCCTTCTTCTTGTTCTACCCAGCGCGAGGGCCCCCCGGAAAAAAAAACTCACTCTCTCTCTCTATTTGTCTCTCTCTCTCTCTCTCTCTCTCTCTCTCTCTCTCTCTCTCTAAGGAAATGGCAACTTGTACTTGTACTGCCCTCTCGGCCGGCCTTCTCGAGCTGCTTAGTTGAGCTGCGAGGGTTGTCCTCTGCCCAAAACTCCGCACCCTATGAACTTTGCACAGATGCAGACGCCATGGTGTCACTCTTGTCAATGCGCCTGGCGGCTGTCGGAACGCTCCTCTGCCGACTCTTTGTCCTTGTAGGGCGCTTTCTGCCGAAACATGTACGCTAGCCCGGATCTTGGGAACTGCCAGGAAACAAACAAGTAGAATGACTAAGGGACCCTGAAGGACATAAAAGGATTGTATCAAGATGCTCGTCACTACCGAATTCGGCGTGGGCTACCAGGGCAAAAGGGGAGCAGTAGGGCAACATGAAGGGGGATGATGGGATAAGGGAGACAAGCTTCTGCAAAAGAAGCTAGAAGAGACAAGATATGTGGGGGCTTGCGAAAATAAAAGATCCTAACGTAGTCCCCCGAATACTATGATTCCCTTTTTATCGGGCAACAAGGCACCCGTAATTTCGGAAACCCCATGTATCCTTAGATCCGGTTCCACATGTGCCCGCACTGTGACTGTGGAGGGACGAGAACGAGAGGAAAAGAGGAAGGGTGACAAACACACAACTTGGCCACGAGCTGTGGCAGGCAAGCGGGTTCTTCGCGACGAGAAAAATCATGAAGAGAGCAGGAGGCACAACTACCGGAAACAGCCGTTCCCTTGCGATCAGGCAAGTCAACAGTAGACATGGACAAAGGAGAAGATGAAGAGGGAAGCGTAGCGGGACAAGTGGACCGTGTGAATCTTCGATTCCTTCTGTGCAAGCCCCAAGAGTTTCGACATGCCATGACATGGGCTGTACACACTATCTGAACAGGGGCGCAAGCAGATGAAGTCAGTATTTGTACAGTTGTACGCCCTGAAGGTCCTTGTCTGTGGGTCGCGAACCTGACGTCATTGCCATGCGCTCTGCGACCGATAAACGTCGGTTGCCGCCAGTCGTTGTGTCAGTTGCGCCCGCAACCTCACAGCATTCACAGGCATAGCCATGGATTGCCCTGGATCATGGACAGGCCACCTCAAACTGAACACACGTAGATAACGCACATTGGGATCCTTTCATGGAGCTCTCAATGGCATGCCTATCCGGGCCCTGCCACCGACCATGCACTTAGAATGACATCGAGGCATGTTCAATCATGTTCAGCCCAGCAGCAGCACTCAGGGCGGACTTGAAGGCAGCCGCTGCTTTAACAAGGGTAGCCTGTGACCGTTGAGACTTGTTGGCGCTGCTCGATTTCCGTCGCCCGCCTGGCTCCGGCGACCCTCTCCGAGAGTCCGTTAAGTCACTCTGCCGACTCTGCCTGCTCTGCAAGTCGGACTCCACCGAAGGTGAGGCCGATCGCCGATCCGACACCGCACCAAGCATCTGTGCTAGCTTCTGTCCCTGATCCTCCTCCCGCGCGACTTGCATGAGGGCTTTGACCGCCGAGAAAAGCGTCTTCTTCCCCGTATTCCTCAGTCTGCGCGATGAACTATCGATGCTTGCAGGCTGCGCTTATCGTGCCAGGGGGCGCTGGCGACGGCATCGAAGGCCTCCTTGGGAAAGGACGAGACAGGCTTAAGCAAGTCTTAACCTCATCTGAGATGCATGCGGCGGACATAAAGCTGAGACATGCCAAGATGCGGCGACTCAGCCACGTCGGCATTTGCCTTGGCATCGCCATCCTTGGCTTTGGCCTCGGACTTCGGCTTCGCCTCCGTCTTTGCGCCAGGCTTTTCTGGCTTCGTTTCGGGCTTTGCCTCAGATCTTGCTTCTGCCTTTGCCGGTTCGTGCACTTCGTCTCTGATGTCAGTTCGCCCGACTCGGCTTCCTCAGCAGGAATGCGTAGTAGCACACAAGCTAGGGTGGCAGGGCTAAGCCAAGCAATGAGCGGCCTCTGCCGCGGCACGGCTTTATGCGCAAGAGCACGCAGCGTTGAGGCAAGGATTGCACCATCTCTTGTCTGAATACCGCAGCACCATGAAACAGCAACCACGACCACGATTGCGAAGCCTAGCGGCGCCGATTGGACTCCAGCGTCCGCCGCACTGCCCGCTTCGGCCGAGGAGCTGCGGGTCGGCGGCCCACCTCTGATACAAGAGGCGACAAAGAGGCGCGAAGAAGCATCAGTGTCACACTCGCACAAGAAGACACAGGAGAAGATACGGAGGAAGGCAAGCGAAGGCAAGCGAAGGCAAGCTCCAGTGCCTCCCGCTTTCGCTCCTCTTCGAAGGGCGACGGCTCTGTTGGCGCAGCCAAAGCTGCCAGCACCTCCTCGGACCACTCCAACCAAAGCCTAAAACAGAATCCAAATGTCCGTTGCTTCGAACCTTCCTTTCCTCTGTGACATCCTCTGACCAAGCACAAAGAGCGCGTGGCACATGGAAACTGCTACAAGGGGGAACACGGTCTATATCACGCTGTAGCGCGGCGGACGGAATCGAGGCGGCGTCCTCAGCACACGCTTGTGTCCACTTGCATGGAACGTTTGCCCGCTGCGGTTTGGTTTGGGAGAGGACTTCGGAAATGGGACTTCACATGTTTCGACAAAATGGCCGTGCGCACCGCCTTCACGCGTGCCGCGCGAACGGCAGTGGTGATTCTGAGCATAGAAAAAAAACACTTCCGGCTAAAGCGCATGCAAAATACCGAGTGTTCCACGTTTCCGTGCGTTGCACGCAGCAATGCAAGCTATGATGTTATCGAGCTTGCCAATAGCAACGGTCCAGCGCGAAAACACGAAACACAACAAATTTCAAAGGGCACACAAAACCGCAGGAAAATACGACCCGTGGTCCAACTACTTGGTAACAGCACTGCAATTTGCTTGGGCGCTTCGTGCCTATTTTTATCTCTTTTGACAGCTACGCAGATGGAGCGCGGCGATTCTGTCAACAACTAAAGTGCTTTCTCAGCCTCCTATAACAACTACTGTTCCTAGCTTTGCACACTCGAACGGCACATCTGCACCTATGCCAAGCAAATACATAACATCTATATGTCAGAAATCACACAGGCACACTTTCGATAACGATGTCGTTTGCGGCATAAGGGATCGGTCTTCAGCATGTTTCGGTTCCTTGCCTGACCCATCTGCCTCGCTTGGCTGGCGAAGTCCACTCGCCATGCGTCGGAGCCGGTGGAGTTCTGCAAAGGTGAGTGACGCATAGAATCGAAAGACAGCACAGCTGAAATGGCTGAGCTAAGACCACGTACAAGCACGCAAGTCCTGCCTGCGTCTGCCGTGCGGACGTTGCAAAAGACGCCTCGTGAAGAGCGGCAGTGGATGCGGCTACAACTGCGCAAGTCCTAGCTTCCTGTTGCAGCTTAGCAGCTGTGGTGGTCTGCATAGACAACGGGTGCTTTCGAAACTCCTGGTGCTTTATTCTTGACCAGCACTTACTAAGGAGCATCCTCCAATGTGACTATTTCTCCTTTTCTTTTCATTTGGAAGTGAGCGGAGGTGTGGCAGCGCAGGCCCCGAAAGAATTTCTTGCCTCTGCTGGCGTCTCTAAGACTCTACACTGCCATCTTCTTAGGTTCTGTTTCCATACACTGTGCCTGGCAGGAGCCGGAAAACTGCCCAGTACAAGCTTGATGCCTCAAGCATGCACTCTCCATGAAGTCATGGCTGCGAAACTTGCTGGACTGGCTGCTAGCACCTTCGTTTGAAGCATTTTTCAGGAGTTCTTCTGCATTGTCTTGCTGTGGGCCCAAGTGTCTTTCCACAGGAGACGTCTTCTGCAGGTAGCCCATTGTCCACACGCCCTGTCCTCCTCTGTGAGCAGCGACGCTGCAGCTCTGATAGGGGTCGAAGGTTGCAGGAAGGACTCCCAGCCCTGGCAACAGCACAACTGAAGCAGCTAGGCTCGGGAACGGGAACTGCGGGCTGCAGACTTTCCATCTGCGCCTCCTTCCATCTGCTTGCCCCGATTGGATGGCGGATGCCCGAGCTTCCTTGCGTCAACACCAGCCAAGGAGTTCCTGCATAACCCGGATCCCCGACCTCCGACTCCTCCGACCCCCATCTCCCCATCTCTCACTGAGAGGCTCAACAGTTGCACATCCCAGTCCTGCCCCGTGGAAGGTCTTGGCCAAAGGTTCCCGGCGAGCACTCCTGTCACCCCTGGTGCTGTGGCTAGGTTGGTCCGACCTGACATGACTTGGAGTGTGGCACTCTGCCTACACCGAAGAGCAAGAGCCTTACAAGAGACATGCACCTTCAAGTGGTCCCTGAAACACGTTCTGCAGGGCGCGAAGCAAAGCCGGCAAAGCAAGATGGCAACCTCTGCACTTGGCATTAATTTGAATGATCGGGCCTCCAAGTTGATCGCGGGTCCATACTGTAACCTGCCTCAAAGTACAGGCCGAGATGAGAGGAGTGAAGGGGCATATTTGCAAAGGATCAACAACAGTTCAGTCAAAAGGTCCCAAAAAGGTTTGCTTCCGGCTGTCGAAATGGCTAATCCAATGATGTTCTGCATCGTAAACTTCTCTTTGCAAGGCTTGACAACGCATGCTCCTATGACGGGCAACTCCATTAGGTGCCATGATGTCCTGCATAGCAAGCTTTGCATCGCTTAAGCAGGGCGGGGGGTGTCCCGCAAACACAACGCTCGTATGACGGGCTTGTGAAGGAACTCGCTTCACCCTTGCTCCCTTGCTCTGTTGCTCCTTTCCTTCCTCGCTTGTCTTCCTTCTTGCAGAAAAAGCGGCCTAGGGCATAGGGATCAACACTAAACTGACAAGGATCCTTGGTTCTTTCAATCCTTCCTGGACTCAAACTTGTTCTTTTTGACCACCCGCCTTGACATGTCAGGCTTGTTCTTTTGCCTTAGCATTTCTGCTCTTTAGCAACTTTTTGGGGATCTTCCCAATTTGTTTGATCTCTATGCCCTTGTGAAAACCCACCACCGCCTTTACGTGAGGCCACTGATGTGTTGCGGCGGGTTGGCCCTGGCCGGGTAAGTGCTTTGTGTATTTCCATAAGGAAAAGCATTCATCCCTTCTTACATTGTGAAAGGAAAATTTGTACTAGAAAACATCGGTTTGTCTCTAGTTGTTCATCGAAAAACTCGCTTAATCTTCTCAACTCGAATAGGCAGTTTAAATTGAACAGGTCCTCTTCTCTATACTAGGACTTTCTACTTGGCAATCTTCTTCATCTAGTTGCAAAATGACAGACAAAATGAACTCAAAAACAATCAATAGGAAAACTAGTTTTCTCTTGTCTCTATCTTTTCAAAGGATATATCGGTTTCGTCTACATGTTACTAAGAAAGCCTCTGCATCCTTTGCATTTTAATCGGACAATCTACGCTTTCTCTATTTGTTGCTCGACATGTCTTCAGAGTTTCGGTAGGGAACATCTATATATAAGCTCATGGAAAGCTCTCTTGTCTTCATTTTCGTGCTCATCTTCTACAGTTTGGCAGGCACATTTGTTCAGTCTTCCGTCTTCCATGCTAGTTGGAATGGAGAACCTCTACTTGGAGGTCCTTCATATTGTCGCAAGAACAAGTGTGAACCGCCCAATTTGCTTCTGGGCTCCGAGGCAGGCTAGCTTCAATACTCCGACAACAAAAAAGCACCCACAACAAAAACAAAAAAAACACGGGTTCTCTGGCCACCCGAAGCAGAAATCTCGGTTTCGCCACTCGGCCGGACAGATCTTGCGAGCATGCAAAACAAATCAAACCAAGCTTCAGGGACAGCCTGCGGGGGCTTCCCCCAAATCACGCACTTGGTCCAGGCTACCACACACCCCCAAAACTCCTGCAGTGTGTAGCAAGTCTTGTTGCAGCCAGGCTACGAATATGGTAGCGCCGAATCTCGAAACTGATCCGCAGCTGTTCTGCAGAAAAATCAGCTTTGATTCGGGTCTGGGGCCACCCTCGCTTTCAGCGAGAAGCCATCTGCACAACCATGCTGAAAATGAGACTTGCTGCCCTATGCTACCATGCTCCCATATGCTCCCATATGCTGCCAGATGCTGCCATAGCAATGCTTGCACGCATCCATAGCAAGCGAAGCCTGATGGAAGGATTCTGGTGTCGTTGTCTGTCCCCTGCTGTCCTCATGTCCGAGCCAGTGTGAAGATGTGATATGGGGGTATGACTCTATGACTACCTGGGCCCAAGCCTTTCGATGTACATCCCTTGGGCCGGCTGAGAGGCAAACAGCAGGTGTCTCAATCTTGCGCTGCTAAACCCGTCCCATTTGTGCCAAAGTGAACTGACCAGCATGGCAGATTCCACAATGGGTGGCAGGCACCATGCCGCACGTCTTGTGGACTTTGCGCGATCGCGTTCGCGATGCAGCTCTGGTTCTCACAAAGGCTCCGCGCTCGGGCCAAGCGTCATGAGCCCAGGCCCAAAACAATCCCGAAGCATTTGCAAAGACCGAGGGGCCTTCGGCCTTCGGCCTTCGGCCTTCGGCCTTCGGCCCGGTCCAAAACTTGCTGGCACCTGAACGCAGCTGCCATTGCTGCCCCTGTCACGCAGCTGCCCATCCCACGCGGACTTGCCAAGGGAAGATCTCCATGCAGCTGGTGGATACACCGCACTTCATCACGAAACTGGAACCCTCCCGGAGCTTTGAAGCTGCAGGTTGTTGAGTTTGCCAGGGGCAGTCGAGTTCTCTACAGCGTACAAAAGCCGCCAACTGTCTCCTGGCAAGTTGGCATGTTGAAAGCAAATCTGGACAGTTGCCACTCTTGCCTTGTTACTTCTTGGTTCCTTTGGAGGCCAAGTTGCAGCTTGCGTTGAATTCCATCCCTGAAGGATCATGCAAAGCACAGGCTCTTCCTAAGCCAGCAATGAGGCAGCAAATGTCCCCAAGCAATTGGTCCTCACAACAACTTGCACACCAAGGCTGGCACAAGTCTGCGCGATGGCCGGGCTCTTCGGCTGAATCGGGGGCAAATAGTTCCTTCAGCCAGGCCGGCTGCCGCAAGCAGTCTCTCTTTGTGGATGCCATACATTACATACCACGACAGGGATAAGAAGCGCTCCCATTGCCAGAGTTTGGCGGTGACTGCCTCAGTAGCTACAGCACACCCCAAACTTCAGTTAAACAAGTGCACGACTTCAGGGTTCTCATTGACTTGCTGATGCTGGACCCCTTCAAACTTCCATCGGCCCGGTGCCCTCAAGTCACTGGGGTTGCAGCGAGCCAGGATTTGCTTCAGGCCTTCAGGAAGAAATTGGTGTAAACGTGCTGCAACAGGCTTGCTGCAGTGGACTTCGCCGGCCCACGCTCCCTATTCGTCGTGGGTGACCTTCGAACTGAGCAGCGGGATCGCATAGTGAGATGTGCCCAAGCTCAGCGTCCCTTTACGGGACGGTGAAACCACATATCTTTTGCCGACGTCAGTGCCTTGGAAAACCGGTCACAAACCAGTGCTGTGTTTGCAAGTACCGGTGTGGCCGGGTGGCTGCCTGCGGCGGACTGTCCTACAAAATCCTACAACACCAATGTGATTCTATCGTTGTCGCCACCTTCTTTTGGCGATGTCGATGACTTTGGGCGTGACCGGCCAGCTGACATCAGGTGGCCGTCAGGTCCACCATGAGCAGGGGCATGGGTGCCAGCGTCAGCGCCAACAGTGAGCCCCAGCCTCTGGAGGGCGTCTTTGCGACGCCTGTTTCGGTCTCGGCGCGAGCCTTGCGAAGAAGATCGAGAACTGGTCTTCTTGAGCGGCAGCTCGCGGTGAACTATGTGCTCAAAGCATCGCAGGGTTCCAACCAAGGTCCCAAGAGCGGGATCATGCTCCAACTCCAGAATGGCTTCCATTGTACAAACACCAAAGAGGTTGAAGCTACCCAGCGTCTTTTGCGCCTCCACCAACCCTGTTTCATGATCGAATGAATTCACTGCCGATTGTATCCGCCTGCTCAGCGACGTTGCACCCACATCTGGCGATAGGTCATAGATGCTCATCTTCTCAAAATCGGAGAAGTGGCCAGTGCATTTTGCGAACAGGTTCTCAAACTCATCACTCGCAACAAGAACTTCAAACGTCACAGCATCAAACACGATTGAGTAGTCTTTAAGCGCTGAAATGGGCCCTTCTGTTGAAGAGTCCATGACAAGCGTGGCGCTGTCAGACCGGAGGGGTGCTACTGTGCTTCCGGTAAAGTCCGGGGATTCCTTGAAACCCATCAAGCGGCAAGGCGACCCATCTTCTCCGATGAAGGACATCTGGAAGAGCTCGGTCTTGATTGCGGTGCCATGAGAATCCACAAGGCGGGTTAGTATGGATGGGGCCCGGCCTGAGGGGACGAAAGGCTCGGAGAGAAAAGACTCCACGCGCTCGCGATCCTCACTTTCGACCTCATGATGATTTAAGGGCGCACTGAAATAGAACCGACCGGCAAAAGAAGCTGGTAAAAGCTGGTAAATTGTGACAAAATCGATTAACAAGGCCAATTCTGGCTAAATAAGGAAGGGCACCAGATCCAAAAAGTCCGATCCCGCCATCGTCGCGGCAGAATTCACACAGAAAAGCATGGTGCCAATTTGCGGGGAATCTTCCAAAAGCTTCAAGGTCGAGTCTAGCTCTACCACGCAGTCACAAATGCCATTCATGAGTGCGGTTGCCGACTCCATGGCAACGCGCTTGGTCTTGAAGGACAGGCGCTGCTTTGCTGCGACGGATATGGAGCCATGAAGAGTCCAGGTCAGGATCATCAAGAGAGCCAGAGTCCCAAGGGCAATGGACACCATTCGTGAATCTCGCCACCACAAGACGCCACTACACAAACAGTGTCCAACGAGCGCTTTCCAGCCATACTGGACCCAAAGGGCAGAAACTAGCCGCGGCGTCACAGTCAAGTACGCCACAGTTGGCAAATCCTCCGTCTTCGAGAAATACAATGCCATGGCACAGAGTAGCTGTGCGAGAGCGTGCAAAGTATCCAGGACCATGGGCGATACCTCGCACGGCATCACCAGCACGCTCAAACTTACGGCATAGCCTACCAGGACAGGAATATCCAAGGCTGGGTAAGCCACATCGATGCCCTGGGCAAGGTCGATCTGTACCCGCAGCAAGTAGAAGAGACTGAGACCAATGAAACATGTGCAAGCACGTTGGAGAATGGCGCGCTGCAAATCTCGATAGGCTTTGATCTCCTTCTTTGTGCCAGAAACCTTTCCCAACCATCGCTCCACTTCGACCATGAGACCCCGACAGCATGGTGCCAACCAGCTTCGGCGCTTCCGCAGGCGTTGCACCAAGACTGTCAACAGCTTAAGGAGCGTGAGAACCTGCAAAGCAGCCGCGATGGCACAGATGACAAGAGCTGTGGCTGGCAGCTGCATTCCGTACTGCACGGAAGTGTCTCCGCTTTAAGCGAAGAAACTCGAGCCCGGCTTGGCAAGGTGTGGGTAACAAGGGCACATCTGATTGCAAGGAACGCCATCAACATCACGGTGCATCACCTCTCCGTGCTTTATCAGCTTTCAGCAGCTTCACATGCAGCCATCCTCTTCAGATGCGTGTCTTTAGGTGACTGGCTCTTTATCGTCAATGGCTTCTGCCTTCCTGAAGTTCGGCCTCAAAACGAATCACACTTTGGAAGCCAACCACGAGCATCACGAATCACAAGCTGCAAAAGTTGGTATCTGTTGGCGTGCTGCAAGTCCTTTCTTCATTTCAAGTGTCCTATCCTTGTTCACTTGTTTGCACGTGTATTGGTAGTAGCTCTGGTTGTTGGTTCCTGGCCGGTGCACCTTCGGCAGCGGTTGCCGTCGCCGCTGGTTGCGTGTTGGCCCCCTGCCTTCCCGTGTTGCTGGTTGGATCCGGCCTGTCTTGCTGGGTCGGCTGCCGGCGCATCGGCTTTCGTCAAGTGTTTCCTGCTGCGGCGCAAGTGTGTACAAGTATCTCCTGTCAAAACATTCCGTCCACGTTCTGTCCGAGCGCGGTCCGATATCGTGCCTTCTGCGTTTATCCGTGGTGAAGCGCTAAACAAGAAACCAACCCCAGAGGGGTTTTCGGCAATCAAAAAAACACGAAAACACAAGTTCTGAGCGAGCCAAAGTGTGCGAAAGCATTGGGCACTGCAAATCTGAAATCATGGTTTGGAGAAAGTATTCTCACTTTTGATTACCCCGGTCCAGGGCGGTCTCAGCATTTGGGTACCTGCACGGCGCCTCGAGGGGCTGACCGTGCCACTTGCTGCCAAAGCCCGTAAGAAAACTGGCCGGCACTCACACGCATGCTTGGCATGGATTTGTCCGACGCTCACGCACAACAGGTAGCATACTTGCAGAAGACGAAGAGGTGCTTGTCGAGATTGGAGCGGGACGGTGAGATGTCATTTTTGAAGCGTTCGAAGAAGGAAAAAGGAGAGGGAATCCCGTTCAACTTTGCTCTTCACATGCTCTGCTTACAATAAACAGAACGACAGCTTGCTCTCTGCATATCATGCACACAGGACAAACGCATGTCCACGGCTCGATTGCTCTCCACGCGACGGTAAAATCAGTCTCTGGGCATGGCGCGCACTGGCTGACTGCTGCAGGCCAATCTTCTTGGGAGGTTCAGCCGCCACTTGCGGCGTCACCCTCACCGGGAAAGGCATCCACTCCCGCAGGTTGAAAATGGCCCCAACAGTTGTGATTGCAGTCCACTTCTGTCCATTCGATTTCAGCCACATGTCGTTGCGGATGTTTGTCTGCAGTCGTCCAGGCCACACGGTCACTGCCCTTGGCCTGCGGCAGCTGTTGTCGATATCCAGCGCCGAAACCTTCACAGCCAAAATCTCAAGAGAACTGTCCCACGACTCAAACCTTGAAATCCTGAAAAGCGGTTCCTGCGCGACAAGTAAACGCGAGGAAAGCTTCTTCGCTATCGCTGGCTTCTTCTTCGCCTTGCAGCGGAGCTCCTCCACCAGGGCTTTGTAGCTGTCCTGCAGCTCCTCTGTGTTAGAGCAGACGGCTGAAGGCAAGTTCCAGGAAGCCGAGAGCTGACCTAACGAACCATGCACATGCTGCGGCCTGCACCATGGCAGTCAGGTCGTTCACACGCTCTTGGGTCTCCTGCAAAGCCTCTGGTGAAGTGCATGACGGGATGCGACCACCACCTATCGACCTAACACCACGACCTTCATTGCTGGCACCTTTCCATGTGCACTGGGTGCTGGGCTTTGTCCCCCATGACAGTTTCCAGTCGGCCCTCTTCCTTGGAGAGGGCTTGTCTCGCCTGACAGCTCAGGGGTGAGAAACTCGCTGACGACGGCAATGCCCCGGGTGAAGTCTGCATTTTACAGGGCCAGGTCTGTACCTTGCAAGCCCCCTTCTGATTGACACTGCCAATGCCAGCAAAACGAGGATGCTTGCTTTCTTCATGTCGCCTAGCAACCTCCGAAGAAAAATGCTGATGAGTTCGTACTTTAGCAAGGAAGCGTTGTTTGGCAGTTCCCATGCCTGCACCATCTCAACCCCTCCCACCCCCTCCCAGAAAAAATAGCGGAAGTCGCTTCTGCTGGTTTACAGGCGCTCCAAGGGTGTCCCCCTTTCCCAAAACTCCCCAACACCACCCCCCTTGCCTGGGACTTTCTGGCTTTTGCATGCAATGGATGTCTTGCCAAGGACAGCCCAATCCACAGGCCCCAGTTGGTATTTGCATCTAACCAAGGTGGGCTGGAAGCCCTACAACCCTGAACCGCTGAAACCCGACACTCTCAAGCCCCCAAGCCCTAAAACCCGAATAGAACAGCAAAACCTCGAACCGCAAGTAACCTGTAAAGAAGGTCCACATAGTTAAAACTATAAGAATGCGGTGTGACCACTCTGTCCAGGTGCTCCTGTGTCACCAACTTTATGTGGAGCTCTCTCGAGCAATAGGGTAACATGTTCTAGGGTCCTTCGGATTTCACGTGGGTTCAACTGGGCCCTTTTGGCCTCTGTAGGTTCCAGCGTTCCAAAAGGTCCGAGATCCCTCAGAATTGTTGTTCACCCCATCCGAAGCTGGTGCTGTACACTTTGCGGCTCCGAGACAGTTGGAGTCAAGTGCTTCATTCTGGCACATGACATTTCCGCCGTTGTCTGTCCATCGGCCATGCAAGCAGCAGAACAGAAAAAGGGTGCCTGCGTGAGCGTGGCATCCACACCACGTATGTTCTCCTGGTCTGGTGTGCAGCTTGTTCGTGAAAAACCCTTCATGTAACTAAGCCGGCTTGACAGCGATATCCACCAAGCATGTGTCACATGGACTTCTCATGACTCGTCAGTACACGAGGCCTCCAACATCTTCTTGAACCTTGGAATCAGCGTCGCCATCGAAGAGGGCCCGAATCTCTCCCATCAGTCTCACCATGCCCCATCTACAAGCGATGCAGGGGCCCGGGCTCTCCCAACTCACGGGTCTTGGCGCCCAGCCTCAAGGTCTCTTTGACACGGCCCAGCATGGCTTGCTCAGCGTAAGCCTGAGGCCCCCCGCTGGCGTGCAGATCTGTGGGTGCATTGGTGTGCTTCCTGCAGCATGATGGGCAAAGGTACCAAATACTACCACGAGATACCACGAGCATCACAAGCGCAATGCATGCAAAAACGTTTCCGGCGACGGGCCGCAAGCACTTGCAAAGCCGAGCGAAACCGTTGCAGGTCCTGCCGGATGCGCCCAATGGTGACATCCACCCTGTCAGGCAGTTCCTTCCTAAGGCAGCTCCAGGCCGAGGCAAGGCTGAAGTGAAAAAAAGGAGCCATGGCGGCTGTCGCTGCGGCAAGCTGAGCTGCGCACGCTTTTCTGATCACAGAAACTGAGCGCTGCTTCAAGGACTTGGCCTCTTCTTCGGAGAGGAGCTTGATTGCCTGCCGAGCCACAGTCCTAGAATGATGGACCTGACAAGATAAGGCATAGATTTCAATGCCACTTCCAGGACTGGACCTGATGGGGCTGGGTGTTGTTCTTCTTGTCCACCTTTCTGTGCTCAGGCATGTAACTCGCATGTTACACAATTTCCAGACTGCCTCCGGCAAAGACACACTGGCTCCAGTTGCCATTCTCATCTGGGCCAATTCGCTCTCCACCTGCACGGGCACACATTGTGGCACCTACTGAGCACCCATCGCCCTCCACTGACAAATTCTACTCGACATGTCCGAGGTATGGAACGCAGAGGCACAATAACAAATTATCAGAACATGCATCTGAACAGCAGCAAATTCATGTATCACCTCTTCCTAGGTGACTAGGCTTGAAGGAAAAGAGGCGGCCAGAGAAAAAGAGAGAAAGAAGAAAAAGTGAGCGGGAGCCACGAGCCGGGAGCTGGGAGCCGGGAGCTCTGAGCCAGGAGCGAGAGCGAAAGCGAGAGGCTCTTTGACAAGGGTGGCTGTGTCCGCCACAGTGTTCCAGGCTTGCTCTTTGCAACTATGTGACGTGATGTCGTCATGCTTTCAAGCAGGCCTGAAGCCTGCGAGCCCCCGTGTCGCGGGAGAGCTCCGCACGCATCGCCTCATCAGGTCATGGGCCTTGATTGAAAAACTGCTCGCCAAACCATGCTGAGTAAACCGAGAGTTGCAAACACAAGAGTTCGAGATCCAACAACAGGGTGAGGGTGATGGGAGGGCACAGCTTCAGAATAAGGAGAGGGAGCGCGAGATTTCAAAGCATAACGAAAGCTTGTCCTGCAGGTCTGTGTGGAATTGCTGGGCTTCTGCTTCCAAGGCCAGGAGATCCTGCCAAGGACTTCGACCCAAAACGAAAATGGCGGCAGGTCCAGTTCTGGGTCGAGTTTTTCAAGGTATGCGAGGCAACACCTTAGAATCAGTCTTAACCGGGAACCTTTTAAGCCCACCCGGACACAACACTCCATTGCCGAGGGCATGCATGAGGCAACAACGGTTTAACAACGAGAGAACCCAATCAACAACCACCATCTGCGGCAAGCTTCTTGTACGTCGCATGCCACACAATGAGAGAATCCCAGTGCCAACAACCATCTGCGGCAAGCTTCTTGTACACAGTACACGTGTCAGTTACCCCCCCCCCCCCCCACCCCACCCCACCCCATCCCACCGCACAGCACCCCGCCACCCAACCCCACCCCTTAAACCAAAAACCTCACGCAAACCCTATACCCCCAGGACCCTGAAGCCCAAATTCCCAAAAAACGAAAGCCCAACCCAATAACCGAAAGCCCCAAACCCTAAAAAAACCCATTAAAAAAAAAAACTAGAGAAAAGCAAGACAACCGTGAAAGCGTGAAACCCTAAACTCAAAAACCCTAAACCCCAACCACAAAAGGCTTCAAGCCTAAACCCTGTTTTACGATAAACCCTAAACCTACTCTGTCACAGGGCTAAGCCCAAAGGTTGCGAATCCCAAACGAGAACCAGGTTTGTGGGAAAAACGAAGTGTCTAATAATTAAGTGACTGCCCAGATGCCCCAAACAATCGGCATGGATATTCATAGGACGTCCTGGCGTGAGCGCTCCAGCACAGCTCGTTCGCGATCCAGCGCCTCCAGTTAAAGCACTCGTAGCGGTGGTTGCCTGTTGCCTGGGTCGACTTAGCTATGGCATCGCCTTTGATGTACACCTCCTCTCCCTGTGCCCCTTCCCCTTCCCCCCTCACTGAGAAGAGTGAGGCTGAGAGTGAGAATGAGAGTGAGAATGGCAGTGAGAATGAGAGTGAGAATGAGAGTGAGAATGAGAGTGAGCGTGCGAGTGTGCGAGCGCGCGATTGCGTGAGCACGCGAGCGTGCGAAAAAGAATAGAAAGAGGAGATGCAGAGATAGAGAGAGGCAGAACGAGAGAGATAGGGAGAAAGAGAGAGAGAGAGAGTGACAGCGAATGAGAATGAAAGGAGAAGGAGAGACCTGATGCTGCGCCTCCTCGACAGCATCTCGAAAGTTCTCTCGGGGCCTCTGGAACACATTTCAGCCACATGCAAACCGCTAAACTGCTCGTAACTTCCGCACGCACCGAGGTGCCCGCGGCCGCCGCTCTCTGAGCTGCAGCCGTTTCTCACAAACCTTCAGATCTGCGAACCTTCGAGGCTGGCAAAGAAGTGCTCAGGTGATTTCAGTGATTTCCGCAGATTCCGACCTCGCGTAGCGCATATGGACCAATCGAGTTTGGCAACCTTCCACCTGGGCGAGCCAAAGAATGCTCCTCGTTTCATCACAAGCTCTGCTTCCAGGCTGAGCCTGGGTGATGGCTTCTTCGATGTCCTTTATGCTGCGTTGCGCCTCGTTTATGACCTCTGCAATCAGGAGCTGCTGTAGAAACACTGCACACATCGAAGCGGCCAGTCAAAACTCGACAGCGTTGCCTCCGTGTGCTCGCGAACACGTCCACGGACTCGACGTTTGAGCTGCTCTTTCCTGCCATGATACTGTATCCGCCATGCCCGCTGCCTGGTCAAAGCTTCCGCGCTCTCGAATCAAGAAGGGAAAGAAAGCCGCCTGAACAGCTTGTCATCCACCCCGATTCAAAAAGATCAAGATTGTGAAGAGCGAATCGGAGGATCGGATTGCAGAATGAGACAAAAGCTTGTCATCAGTGTTGCGAATGCCCGAAATATGTCGGCTGCACTCTCGCTTTTGACCTTAGTCGTTGCTCAAAGCAGGAGAGGGGGGAATGATCAGCAAGCTATCTGACCATGCTTGTCCTGTCCGTGTCTTGTGGTGGCCCGAGGACCAGTCGACTGGCTTAATCCTGACCATTGACAGCAGGCGTATCTGTAGGAGTTTGGGTAAAGATATCCTCAGGAAAGAGAATCAATGGCGACAGGCTCAAGCATGGGAAGTCCAGCCAAGAAGACTTGGAGTGCAGCCGAGGCAAGTCAATACTCGAACACTTTGTGCTTATTTCCGTGCTGTTAGATCAGGGTCGCTTTGAGGTGCGTCCAGGCGCGCCCGAGGTGCGCCATCTGCAGAATTTGCCTCACCCCCCATGTCTTCAACATCCGCCCGAATCCGTCAAACCTAAACCTGGAAAACTTTGCCATACCCCGAGGCCGATGGCTTTCTGCATTTGGGCATCATGGGGGCCTCCCTCGGACTGTATCCACACCACACCCAGGCCAAGCCAAGCTCCCTTTTCTCAGTCGTTGCGATTCATGTCGACATTGCACCGATCAGCCTCTGAAACATCTCTTCGCAACATCCTCGCCTTCTGGGGCGGAGTTGCACCAGTCCAGTGTCTTAGTGGAGAAACGGTGTCCTCGCCAAATATGCTGCAGCAGTCTCACCATCTAAATCCTCGGCAGAATACACGGCACCCGAATCCACAAGAAGTCTCATGACTGCAACATGTCCAAACATTGACGCGTAGTGAAGGGGGCTTCTCTGGAGGAGGTCTGTCGCATTCGAAGACGCATTGTGCTTCAGCAGCTGTTGCACTACGTTTGAGTGGCCCCTGGCCGAGGCAAGATGCAAAGGCGTCGACTGAGATCGATCTTTGGGATCTGGGTCCAGCTGAGCTTCCAGCAATTCTGCCATGACTCCGCTGTGCCCATTTGATGCTGCATAGTGAAGCAGCGTGCGTCCCCAGCGGTCCGGGGCTGCATCCGACACCGACAGGTTCAGCTTACGGAGCTCCTGCAAGAGGGGCAGCTCGCCTGAAGGGGTGGAGCTATGTGGAGCTCGCACTCTTGTGTACAGTTGCCTTTGGCTCCTACCTTAGGTCATATGAGGGTCCTACATGCTGCACATGCTGCTCTTTGCATTTGTTGCTTGGTGGTGATGGAGAATTCTCGTGTGCAAGACAAAGAGGCTCCGTCAGCAGAAATGCGTGAACTCTCTCAAACACCTCGCCTGCCAGAACTGCCCAGTGTAGGGGCCCGCGTCCATCATGATCTGTATGATCTGCCTGATACCCAGATGGCGCTGCGCGGAGCAGCTGCAACGCTCCTTGGGCACCTCGCTGGCGGGACTGTATCGCTGCCAGCAAAGGCGTCCGCCCCCAAACATCCTGTGCCGACAGCTGGGCCGAGAACGCACTTGATTTGCTTGACCCCAGCAGACGGGCGATCTTCGAATCATGGCCGCTGGCGGCAGCCACATGCAGGGTTGTCATGGCATACGCCTCGTCTGCTTCAATAGTGCTGTCAGTCGTCTCAACGCCCGCCCTGCTGTAGAGGTGCAGCTTGGAGGATTCGGAGGCCTCAGCTTCTGAGCCTCCCACTTCAAGCAAGGCTGCAGCTTCTACGTGCCCCGTCAAGCGCGCCCAAGCAGCCGCTGTGCGGCCCTCCCGGTCTGTGTGCTCCGCAGGTGCACCGGCATTCAGAAGAAGGCGGATGAGCTGAAGGTGACCGCGTCGGGCCGCCCACTGCAATGGTTGACAGCCAAACTCATGCTCCTGTGCATCAACTGCCGCCTGCGCCTCGACCAATGCCGATGCCATCTCCTCGTCGCCATGCAAGGCAGCCCAATGCAAGGGGGTCCAACCCAAATCGTCGGGTGCGGACACCTGTGCAAGGGATGCACTTGTGGTCAAGATCTCCTGGACCTTATCCATGGCACCAAACTCCGCTGCTTCATGAAGCGGTGTCCGGCCCCAGTCAGTGCTTGATTCAGTTGACCCAGCATCAATCGGCGAAATCGATGGAGCTGGGGAGCGCGCACTGATTTGATGTTGGAGGAGGGCAAACCACAGCATAACGTGCCAAACAAGAACATCTCTGTTCATGCTCTGGCCTTGAAGCAGCAACTGCGCTTCAACTTAGACGGGGCCAACTTGCTTTCACAGCAGCAAGAGGCTGCTGTCACGGCATGCCGTGGCTATAGCACGCAACTGTGTTTTTGAATCAGGATTTACACTTACAGGAAAGAAGGTGTCTTCGTGGCTTTTTTGCCTGTATTACTGTGCCACATGATGTACAAGTACACCTGTGGGAGAGGGGTGTGGGATGAGACCCGAAACATGGGCAGCGTTTCATGCCATTTTCTTCCGTGCGTTCCGTTTGTTCTGTGCTCCTCTAGTCTTTCCACCTTGCTGTTCCAGGCGATGGTTCGGTAAACCTCCATAATCTATGCTCGGTCCGAAAGAAGAGCCATGCCTGCAGAAGCGCACATTAAAATATTAAAAAACGGAAAAGCAACAACGTGTGGAATCTCCCTGCGGTTACTGAAAGTTGACTCTGACCACAGGCTGAGACAAAGCACGACATTGCAACGCTGGGCAGAGGTCTGGCCCGCCCTCTCTGCTGGTGCTTGGGCCCCTGCCGCTCTCCTTCATCTCTTTGTTCATCGCATCTGCCGCTTCGTTGACCTGGCGCCACGATGTCTCAGACAGGTACAAGATGGTACATGACTGGCATCCTGGCATCCACATGTGCAACCTTGCAACCACAACTACCATCGCATGGCACTGCCCTTAACATCGCGCACGATGGAACATCGCGTGTGGCGAATAATGCCACTAAATGAGGAATGCTCTGCAACACCTCGCGCGCCCCCTTGCTTCAGGCACGGAATGGAAGCAACGACACGGGGGCACACTGCGCCCGCCTGTCCCTCGCCCGTTGGGCAGGTGGGAGATCAAAACGCCCTCTGACATAGTTGAGTAGGTGATGCTGCTGATCGCCTATGCGATCTTGAAATGGCGCCCCCGACTCCCGCCTCGCACCCCCACCCCCCCAAACCTTGCGTGCTCTGCCGGGTACTCGGCTGCCGTGCTCTCCCCTAACTTAGAAAGTGCTCGTAGGTCACTCCGCCATTCCTGATCACACCCATTCCGCCTCGATCTCCACCCCACGCCGCCCGCAGGCGGCATCTTGTTGGTCGCCGACAACCCACTAGAGGAGTTGGTGGTGGTGGCGACTCGATGCGGCTCGCCTCTGGCTGGGTCAGGTGGTGACCCGCCCGAATTTGGCGACGAAACTCCTTGGTCGCACAGCTCGCCTGTCAACGCCGCGAGGCTGCCGAAACCCCAAAAGCACAATGCGCGAGCGGCTAAGAAGAACTAGGCACCTGTTAACCGCTACCAAGGCGAAAGCAAGGGGGACTGGAGCTGACAAACCCAGATCGCCTATGCGATGTTCAAACGCGCAACTTAGTCAACAACACATACCGCAACCAGCGGGCAATTTTGTCTGCTTCTGCGGCATGGTTCACGCCACCTCCGAGTGGCCGCGTAAGAGGCCATTCGTGCTGCGAGAGCTTCGCATGTTCTCCGTAATAAAGGCCACAGTGTGGCCCTCAGGACCACATGGGCCGGACGCTCGAGCGCCTACCAGCCGACAAGGACAAGACCTCAATCTCCTGAGTTCGTCTGTACATGTCTGTACCACTACGGGTGAAGTACGCAGGCGTGCGTACTACAAGCATCGCATCTATACATGGCGCACATCACATTCCCCCACCTCACATCCCCCACCTCCAAGAATCTGGCTCACGTGGTCATTCACATGCTCCTCTGGAAATCCTGGGAAGCAGCAAGATCTATGAAGATGAGGTGCGACATGCCTGTACGAAACCATGCCTGGAGTATGCGAACATACCGCTCCGTCGTCTCCTGGTGGAAATGGCTCGGAAGCACCGACAGCATGAAATTTTTGCCGCCCGCACAGCATGGAAATGAGCAAACAGCTTTCCAGCGCTTCGTCCGAACCGAAGGCACCTCCACACTTCGACATTCTTTCCGAAGTTCCTCCGCTTCGGTCTTCCTGGCCAGCGCATGGAATTACCGCGACCCAGGTGGCTGCACGCAACTTCCTCATCTTCATGAGAACACAAACACCCACCATCACCTATCAATACCCCTTCTGCTCATCTAGAGAGAGGAGGAATGCAGGGGGACGGGCTGGAGGACAGGCTGCGCAGCTTTCGCCTGGTGTGGCACTCGTTTTGGCTCAACTAAACTGCTTCTTCGTGTAGGCGCGGGCTTACTCGTACGTTTCGTTGGACCATGGCCAAGACTTCAAAGTCTCTGCGGTTGCATGCAAGGATCCAGGTAGCTTAGGTAGCTCTTTGGTTCCTGTAACATAACCATTCGTGGTGCGGAAGGTCGAAAGGTCGAAACCCTTGGGTGGTTGTAGCTGCAGACGCTGGTCGGTCTGCGCTCTGCATCTATTGTGTCTGTAGTGACTGTAGTGCTTTAAAGAAGTGGGTTCAATCGGTGAAGTCTCGAGTGTGCTGCAAAGGCCCTGTCCTGCGAGTTGCAGCAGCCCGCAGTGCAGCGAGGCGCAGCTGCAGAGCACCCGCATCTGTCAGGAAAGCCATAGAGACTACTATAGCATTGTGTGACAATATGAACCGAGAAATTTTGAAGTGATGCATGCGAATGCCCGAGCAATCGCAGCTGTTGCAGCCTTCAGGACACTCGCTATTGCCAGCGTGCTGTGGAACGTCCTGAAACAGCTGCAAAGCGATATCTGGCAACAGCCACCAACGTTCGGCAACGGCTCGGCACGTCCTGGCTCTCCTGAGCCTGGAGGCTTTCGGCCGATCCTCATTCTCTCAAGACTCGAACTGAATGGCCCAAGCAAGCTGAAGCATAACAGCCCCCCAGCCCTGACATTGGTTGAGAAGGAGCTGTGAACGCCGATTTCGCAACACTTATCACAGCAAGCTTCCTGTGCGTATGTTTGTGATACCTTGCGTCGAGCTATGTCGATTTCAAGGGAGTGGGCGGCAAGAGCAAAATCTCGCAAACCAGTTCAAAGCCGCGCACTGCATGGTCATGCTCATTGCTTGGCGCAGTCACTTCGCATACCCAGTAAGCCTTGATGTCTGTGATGTGTGTGAAGCCGAGCAGCTAAAAGACGCCCATGCAGAAGCACGAGTGCCGCGCATCTTTGGCGCTGCCGCCCTGCGGCCAAGCTATGAGCACATCTGTGCATGATATGCTGGGTGGAAAAACAGAGAGAGGGCACTCCGATAACACACAAATTGCATCCTGCTCTGCTAATGCGCAAACTGCCGTGGCAGTGTGGAAACTTGCAGCTTGCAAGAGGCTACGAATGAAGAACCAAATTTCGCGAGAAATTGAGAAGAAAAACTGGCCAATCCCAGTAACCTAGTAAAAGCCGAATCTGCTCGCTCGATATGTAAACCCAACTCGCCAAGACAGACCAGTGCTGGCTTTCCTCAGCACTGACCGCTAAATGCAAGCAAATCCACGCAAGCCCAGCATGCAAATTAAAGTTTCCCAATGTTTGCAAGTTCGGGTCTGCCTGCCATCACCAGGCCTCGTCAAGAGTGGCTTGAGTTGTCAGTCACGCAAAAGGCTTGAGCTGTCACGGCTGTCACGCAAAATTAGCCCCGAGCGTCGCTTCCGGTTGCGGAGCCTTCTGCTCATTGCTGGCCTCGGTAATGCTGCATCGAGACTCTGAACACACCTCACGTAAGACAGCAAATCAGCCTGCTTCGCCCGCATTCTTGACCAGGTCATGGGCTTTGCTTTCGGCCTTGCTTGAATTTGCGTGAGTATTTACTTGATGCGTGCAAACAGTGCATGTCAAAGCAAAGTCGAGGAACCACTCGGCCCCGGACTCAGGTGATGTCGTCGAATCAATGCTCGGAGCACTGGGAGCTTGCGCGGCAAACGGCTCACCCGGCTCACCCGGCTCACCTGGCTCACCCGGGCCGGACCGGGCCGGTGTCGTGTGCTGTTCGCTGTGCGCTTCTCGACTTCGTTGCCAGCTGAAGCGCCTGGCACTGAACTTACACTCGCGGCACCAGTGGCCCGAGCGGTCACTAGCGACTCACGCCACACTCAAGAGACCGCTCTCCGGGCTCTCTGGGCTCCGGGCCTTGGCTGCTCGTGCTCTGATTGGCCTGCACAGGCGCGCGCCGCGCGACAGCGCCGCATCGACAATCGCGGCTCGCATCCGTTACTGTACAAGACATACGGAATTCCTCAAGAAACCTATGGTGCACGTAGTACTCCAAGTGCACAGGCCCGCAAGCCCTGGGCCTCGAGATTGGGTTGCCGCGGCCCTGGCTTTCGCCGCTGCTTCTGCTTGTCGGCGCGCTGCGTCAGCGCGGAGCGCGGCATTGGCACGGTCCTCGGCATCGCGGGCGGCCTCCGAGCTTCGCCAGGCAGGCGGATGAGCAGAGCCTGTCGTTGTTGGGGGTCGAAAGCTGGCCGGCTCCTCACTGCAGCACTTCTGTTCAGTAGCAAGGCTCGGGTCTGCCACTTGCCACGGGCACAAGAACACAAGAACCGAATACCAAATGAGTACCCGGACAGGTCACAAGGCTCGAGATCTACGGCTCTAAGCAACAAGAGGCTGCACAGAAACGTACAGAAACAAGGTCACAAGGTGCCAAGGCACTGCCGAGGTTGCTCCGCGGTGATCATCTGCATCGTCCTCTTCTCCTGCATGCCGTTTCATGTCTGTCCACAAGGCACGCTAGGAAAGCAAGAAATAGAAAAGGCGATTCTGATTGTCTCCTGGCGCACGCCAGTCTGCAGGGCGGAAATAGCTACTGGTCTGGATGTTTTCCAGCTCCTCTAAGTCTGAGATGTCAATTCCTTCTGTCCAGTTGCTCACAAGGTGTGTCTGCTCGCTCATGCTCTCTCGCAGGCGCTGCACCACGTCGCTGCGCGAGGCGGACCTCCGCACACCAATGACCCGCAGGAAAAGGAACTCTGCATCCTGAATATCACCATAGAGAGATCGCAAGTTCAGGTTGGTTGCCTTTGTCTCCTTCAGCTCGTCCTCCACTTCCCACCAAGACTCTTTGGTGAACAAGCGCTTCGGCCGGGACCGTCTGGACGCATCAGGCAGTGGGAGCGATGACGATGAGCCCCTTGCCGTCCTTGCCTGTTGCCTTTCTCGGCCATTGCCTCGCCCACGCGCATTCAGTGCATTCTCCCCCCTTTGAAGAGGAGGCTGTGCGCTTGCCATGTCGGGAAGCTCGAGCGGCGGAAGAACCAGCAAGCGCTCTTGCGCGAAGGCACGTCGCACGTCAGCATGCCACGTCACTGAACTCTTTCTGCACGCCTTTGCGAGACTGGCGTAGACTTTGCTTGCCAAATCCTCCAGTGACTCCAGCAAGCCACGGGCAGTGGTGGGTGTTTCCCGGAGGTTCTCGGAAGGAGTTGGACTGGAAAGAGCGTCCTCCACATGTTTGACCAGATTTCGCAAAGCCGTCAACAGCGGTCCAGGGGAGAAGCCAGGATGATTTTTTGGCATCCCCAACACTTCGAGAAAGTATCGCTGCACGCTCGGCCCATACCTCAAATAGTGTGCCTCAAGGGCTGGGACCTCCGTCAACCACTGGATGTCGGCATCCTCTTCCCAGGTGCAAGCTTCAAGGTGTCGAAATTTCCCAAACGGCACAAACACCAGTTCCGAGAAAGCTTCCCTGAGATCCAGCGAAAGGAGCTGCCCCGCACCAAACTCAGAGGTGACTTCTTTGTAGATGTCCGCATAGACCTGCGAAGCGGTGAGTCGGCGAGCACTCAGAGCCCAGAGTGAGATTTCAAAGCTTGGACCCCCCCACAAAGAGTCAGCCAGTGCCTCGATGTTGTGACATCGACCTTCGTCCTTCAGAAGGCGCAAACTGCGGAGCAAGCCTTCAGCTGAGAGATGCACCTGACCGGGCGCAATCTGCGCCACCATGTCAGAGCATGTCTCCCAAAGCGACCAGCTAGCTACGAGCAGACGAGCAGACTGCCAATTTAGGGGTCTCCAGCCTGCACACCGAGATTCTGCAGACAGCTGCACACCAGTTTATCCTCGGAGGTCTGTCCTGCAGCCCCCGGAGATCCAGGAAGCCGCACGTATTGCAGGTACTGTCCGCCAATCCTGCCATAGACCTCACAGCCATAAACATCATCGAACTACTTAAGGAAGCTGTCTGAAGCTGATGCATCACACAAAAGCTCCCATTCGCACCCCAAGGCAAAAGAAACTTCCGCCAATTAACGCCGGAGAGCATCATGCAAGAAGAGATCCTGCAGTCGGATTGTGAGAAGCACCTTGCGGTCTTTGCTGCCATGGTTGCCTTAGTGTGTGCCAGGGCTTCAAGCAGCTTAGGATTCTGCGCGGAAAAACCACCATGCCATCCTGAAAGCCTGAAAGCGGTACTCCAGGCCTTGCGGCGAACCAAGGCGCCGTGACCTGCCTTGGGGGCATCCACTTCGACGGTCACGGGCAAAGTGCGAAGCCACCGCGCATCGGAGTTGTCGACTCTCTGGCAGCGGCGAGAGACATAGGCCTGTACACGCAGCCCGCGCTTCAGGACACCGGTCCACCAGTCCTGGCTACCGAGGCTAGCGCCAAGCCTCCTTGCAAGCTCGCCGTGACCACCGTGCCCTGATTCCGCGGGCCTAAACTCCCGCACGCCAATGGCATCGAGGAAGGCCTCCCATCCCAAGATGTCTTCACCCCACATCCTTTGGGCAAAGATGTCTTGAACTACCTCAGGCTCTGCCGACTTCCAGTTGGCCCCAAAAAGTCCCAAGTACGAGCTACTCCTCAACTTCTTGGGGCGCAGCAGACGCAAAGAAGGGGTGCTGGCATTGCTGACCGTGTGCCAAGATGGCAACCATAGCCACTTACCCAGCTCTCTCCACCAAGCCTGTCTCGCTTCCGGGTCTTGCTTCGGTAAAGGCAATGGCAAGTCGATGGCGAGTCTACTTCCCTCTGGAAGCTCATCAGTTAAGAATGTTTCCTTCAAGCATGCGAGGCTAGCCAAGACGGCCTTCACAGCCATAGGCTCCGTCGTCACCCCAAGCCCATTGAAGGCGGTCAAGTGCCAGGATATGCAGAGGGCTGCTAACTCTGGTCGGCTGGGCATGCCCATTGTAAGCGACTCCATCAGGTGTGGCGTTGCATTTTGCAGGGCGAGGCGCACGCGCGGCTCAACAAACTTCAGCAAGCCGGCCTCAGACAGAAAGCCCTGCCAATCTGCCCGGATCTTCACGCACGGCCGAGAAAAGATAGGGCCGTCGCAAATGCGCAAAGTTGGCGTGCAAGAACGGAATGCCGGCAGCAGGTCAAGTTCCCAGATTTGGGCCAGGAAAGAGCTCGGCTGCTCAGCCTCTCTCAGCTCCATGTCGAGCCATGTGCCGAAAGGAACAAAAAAATCACAAGGGTCCTCCAAGTCCTCCAACTGCACAGCGACAAGGCCCTTTGGCCATGAGGATCCACGGTATTTCAGCACCTTCACCCAATGCTTCAGAGAAAAAACTTCAAGAACTCCAGTGCCAACCGTCGCCACAGCGCCTGATGAGGCAAAGCTTCTGCCACAACTGAGCTGCAGGAGCTTTGCCGGGATCAACTGCGATGCTGCCATGCGAAGTGGGTGGTGGGGCCGCTCTAAACAATCCGTCGGCTTTGCAACTGCACCCTGTTCTGTCCGGATGCAGGCAACCTGCACCAAGGATTCCAGTAGCTTGCTGCGAACATGTTGCCAAACATGCCGGGGAGCAGCTTCGCTGCCCACAAACCTCATGGCATGGCCACTCAGACCATTCCCAGGGCCGGCCAGAAAATCCGCGAAGGCGCGTGGGATGGCTTGGCAAAGGATCTGATTCACAGGGGAACCTCCAGGGATCGAAGCATTGTCGAAGCAGCAAGCTGGCAACGACTGCTGACTTTCGCATGGAGAAGCTATGAATGAGCTCCGTGTTTCGGCAGTTTAGGACCATGGTGATTATTGAGCAGGCTGCGCATGCGTGATCCACATGCTTAATCGACCTCGCCTTCGGCCGTCTGGTCTTTTCACACATTTAGCTTGGCTTTGCCGGGGATTCTTTCCTTGAAACCTTCACTCCAGCAGATTCGGCATTGGCCCATTGACAGACACACCGGGACAATTTTCGGTTCTAGTCATTGCGCATGAGGTTGAATCTGCGTACGGATAACCGTGATGCATCTTGATGCTCTGGTAGTCTTCCTGGCAGTCTTCCTTCTTCGAGGCGTTCATTTGCAAGTTTCGTCTTCGACACTTGTCTTCGACTTTTTGTTCATTCGGGGACATTGTCCCCCTCACCCTTTGTGATGGTGCACGTTTCGGGGTCAGAATAACGGCTTTGCCACTTGAAAGTGATGCCTGCTTTCCCGCGTGAATGCAAATAGCTATTAGCTTTATTGGCTGGCGGCTAGGTTTCAGTTCGCTACATTTGCAGCACGTCCCATGAAGTCGTCATGCCTGCTTGCAAGATCCGGCTTACACCTGCGCAGTCCTCAGAACTTGCCAAGACACCTTCGTGCAGATCTCCCCTGCTGGCTACCAAATCGAATGGGGCATCGATGGCAAAGTGGAAGCCCACACAGCGAACCGGAAGGCCCACGTGCACGGACATGTGCGGCAAGCTCTCGTCGACAGTGCTTGGAAAAGCCAGCCTCAACACAAGAGCACTGGTTGGATCCGCTTCCACCTCGAAGGGGTGAACCATGTAGCGAAACACCTCGACCGACTCCGCCTCTCCCTCTTCTCCCTCTTCTCCCTCTTCTCCCTCTGCCTCTTCGGAAGAAGACCGTGATAATCGTGATACTTGCACAGACTGTTCGAGCTCTACGTCGCCAAGTCGCTCAAGGCAAACACTCTTCCCACTGGGATACCCCAACTGAATCCGTCGCAGCTGCTTCAAGAACAGAAGGGTGACGTGATGCTGGCACAGGCGATCGAATGCCTCTACAATGCTACCACAGCCTGTGCGAAGTGGCAAATAAACCACCGTCCCCCCACTCTGGTGTGCGTCTCGGACTGCCTTTGGCAGTGTCTCCAGCTCTGCGTCCGTTAGCCAAGTTGGTGTCACGTAGGCCAGCTTGCCAAGAGGTCCGCCAACATCAAACTTGAACGTGAAGTCGCCAGAGAGTACATGTGGACACTGTGAAACTGCAAAAGTGCTCTTCCAGCCGATGCCTTTTTTGCCAATGCACGCAGACCTGGCGCATCCAACTGTGTCAAATACCGCCAATGCAAAATCAAAATCATGAAATATCCCACGTCTGAACAAGCTGGAAACTGCCGACGCTATCTCCGAGTTGCGTCTTGGAGCTCGCATTTATGTCGCACATGGCAAGCACATCGCTCTCCCGCAGGCCACGCTCGTTATTTCTGGTCATGAAATACCTGAGTCTCCACAAGTGCCACTTATGCAGACCTCGGTCTGCTCGTCCCCTGTTTAAAGAGAAGCAGCGTACTAACATGAGTTTCTGACCACATCCACATTGGTACACAACGGTGGCATTAAGACGATGCCCCCGCCCTCCGGGCAAATGCCCTGAATGTCGACTCTGACACTTTTGCAAGGCGCGAGCCAGAGTCATCTGTCTCCAGCAACATTGACAGTTCAGGTTGCACATCCTCTGAATACTTGTTGTCGTCTGCATTTTGAACAAGCTCAAACCTCAGAAGACAAAGCTTCAACACATTCCCACATGATCCTGCAAGTGGCAATACCAAGTAGCATGCAAATGGCGCCCATGTGAACTGCACACCACGGCTTGGTACCCGGATGTACCCGGTATTGGCAGGTAAAAGTACTAATAATTTAACAGATGTTGAACAGTTGCTTTGGACAGACTACAGGCCACTACAAGCCACTTCAAGCCAAAGAAACACGAAGTGCGCCTCCAGCTCGTACAGGTCTTGCGCAAGCCGGTCCACGGCCGCACCCAAGGCCGCCTGTGTGCTGCGGGTACGGGCCAGACCCAACATGAGCTCGGCACTCAGACACCACCATCTGCGTACCCAACAAGGCCTGCGTCTTTTGTGCTGAGGCCTGCAGCACTCCCAAGGACGCGTCGGAAGCCTGGACGATGGCGGTAAGATGGGGGCAACCTGAAACCTAGACTTGCATGGGTATTTGCTTGACAAATGGCGAAAACATGCAAACACATACACTCACACACACACACACACACACACTAAACCTTCTATGTAGTCCTTCAACCAAGTCTAGCAAGAACGTGACCGCGAACGTTGCTTTTTGGCCGTGACTCTCGAAATTCTGGACGCCTTAGGATAGCCCTTTTCAGAAAGTTTGTCAACTTGCGATTGAGCAAAACTGCATTCAGGAAAGTTCTCTCTAATTCTGAAATCTTGCGAGCGCCCTGCAGTCATTCGCAAGGGACACGACTGCGTCCCAGCCCGGACCGCTCACCGAACTCAGCACAGGTGATACCGGACGTGACTTTTCCCATCAAAATACACGAGTACGCACCTCATGATAGGTCAACGATTCCATGAAACATAATCACTGAGCGCCACAAACTTGGAAACCAGCACAACACAATGAAAACATCTGAAATTCTGAAGATGTCCAGAGAAGATGGAGAGCACGAGGACGGATATGCTGAAAGCACTACCGGTTGCGCTTCGTAAAATGAAGTTCGCAAAATTAGCAGATTCCCTTGTCCCAGAAAGATCAAGTTTCCCACTGTTTCACATTGTCCAACAATCTGCAAAGCCGTTGCCTCTGCCAGGCGCCGCTGCCGCATGCAATCCAGGAAGGCTTGGGCCCTCGCGCGTCCCTGTCCGTAGAATCAACTATCCGACCTATCCTCATATGAGTCCGCATGTCCTCACAGCACCTCACAGTCTCACAGCATACGGCCCAGGCACCGACAGCTGCGAGCTCGTCTGCTGGTCTTCCTCAGAAAGCGTCAGCAAAGCACGACTCCCGATACTTGTGAAATCACGGAGGGTCCCCGCCTGGAGCAGGAGCGACGCATGCGGCACTGCCTGTTTGCATTGCCAAGGAGGCTAAACTGCATCATACAGACATGCCATGAAACGAAGCAAACGAAATCGAACCGTCGCCGAGACCCACAGCTTGCGTCAAAGTTTTCGGGTCACATCCGTTTCCGTTGGCTGCGGACGCAAAGATTCGAAGGCGTCACGTCGCAAACAGTTTTGGAGGAGTAGTAGTTGTAGTAGTTGTAGTTGTAGTAGTTGTAGTAGTAGTAGGAGGAACACGGGCCGTAAATTGCCGCAGTGTTTCCTGCATTTTTCCGATGTTTCCTGCAGTTTCCTGTTGTGCGGCTTTGGGGGGGGGGGGGGGGGGGGGATAAGAACGTCATTCATATTGCTTCCATGCACAAAACTCTGGTATTTACCGCGTTTTCGCCTCTTTGTACAACACACTGCGCAAGGATGTGGAACAAGACACGTTGTCACAAGCGTCCATGCCAATTTCGACGATGCCCAAAACACTGGCATTTACCGCGTTTTTGCCTCGTTGTACGACATACCACGCAACAATGCGGAGCAGGACACGTTGTCACAAGCGTGCATGCCAATTGCGACGATGCCCAAAACACTGGTATTTTCCGCGTTTTCGCTTCGTTGTACAACATACTGCGCAAGGATGTAGAAGAAGAAAAGCTGTCACAAGCATCCATACCTTTGGCTGAAGTACGATCTCATTTAACACCAAAGCCCCCAATTCAGTAAACATCGAAGTAGTTTTTTACTGTTTCTTTTGTGCGTTTTCGCACACCCAAACACCACGGCAATCTAGGACCCATGTTCCTAGTAGTTAGTAGTAGTACGTAGTAGTGAGTAGTAGTAAGTAGTAGTAAGTAGTAGGAAGTAGTAGTAAGTAGTAGGAAGTAGTAGTAAGTAGTAGGTAGTAGTAAGTAGTAGTAAGTAGTAGTAAGTAGTAGTAAGTAGTAGTAAGTAGTCATAAGTAGTAGTAAGTAGTAGTAAGTAGTAGTAAGTAGTAGTAAGTAGTAGTAAGTAGTAGTAGTAAGTAGTAGTAAGTAGTAGTAAGTAGTAGTAAGTAGTAGTAATTAAGCAGTAAATAACCCTAAACCGCAAGGGACAAGAGGGGGGGGGGGGATGGCTTCGCGCAAGCAGATGTGGTTGTTTCCCCCCAGTGTCACAGATCCATCAACCCCTGGAGAACTTTGGGATACTTTGGGCATTCGCACTATTCGCACTTTAGCAGGCCTTGTTCGGCTTCGCACTGGTTCCCGAGGATGTCACAGGTGGCGGAAGTGCCTTGCCACGGCGTGGGCCATGGAAGTTTGGAGGACACAGGGCGACTCAAGCCGACTCAAAGCGGGCCAATATGGTAAAGTTGACGTAGCTCCGAGCAGCTGTCGTTCGTCCCAGCTCCATCTCTAGAAGAACGAGCCGCTTCTCATAGCTGGACTTCCCTTGAGGCAGGGGAATTGTTCACACTTACTTAGACTGGTCATGACACGCCTTGAACTGCGCTCTTGGTTGCTGTTTCCTGTGCTGAACGGAGACAGGCTTCGGTCCGCCCACTTTGTCAGGCTGTCCTCGAGGAGCTGGCCATGGTGTGCAAGACGTGCTTCACAGCACATACCTTCGCAAGGCATACAAACAGGGGACCAGCCCGGCACCTGATTGACACATGCTTGCAAGCCGGGATGGTGCATCGTATGTACGGTCGTGTGACACGGAACACAGTGTGGAACACGATGTGCAACTCGGTGTAGAACAATGGTGTGGGACGCGGTGTGGAACCTGGTGTGGAATGCGGTCTGGTGTGAACGTGGTGTGTTGCAAGAACGCGGTGTGCGAAACAGGGTGTGCGGAACGCTTTGAACGCCGTGTGCGGAACGAGGTGTGGAACGCGTGTGGTGGAAAGTGGTGTGGAACACAGAGTGAGAAAACTGGCATGCAGTGTGGGACAGACACCGTATGATGCGGTGTGGAACGCGGTGTGGAAGGCGGTGTGGTGTGGAAAGCAGTGTTGGGTGGAACGCAGTGTGGAACGCAGTGTGGAACGCAGCGTGGAACAATGTGTGGCAAGCGATGTGGAACACGGTGTGAAGTGCGGTGTACGGCGTGGAACGCGGAACATAGTGTGGAACGTGGTGGAATGTGGTGCGGAACGCGGTGTGGAACGCGGTGCAGAGCGCAGTGTGGAAAGTGTGGTATCTTGTGCAGACTTGTGTATACAGAACGCGGTGTGGAATGCAATGTGGTGTGGAATGCGGAGTGGTGTGGAACGAGGTGTGGTTTGGAACGCGGTGTGGAACGGTGTAGAACGCATGTGTGGAAAGCTGTGTGGAGCGCAGAGTGTGGAACATGGCGTGGAACGCAGTTTGTGGAAAGCGGTGTGGGGCGCGGTGTGACGCAGTGTGGGACGGAGTGCGGCACGCAGTGTGGCGCACGGGGCAGAATGCAGTCCTGCAATGGCCTTCACAGCTTCGGCGAGACCACGAGCGCGAAGCGGCAGTTGCTCGCAGAAGGCGCAGCTGCGCCAGCGGGACCAGAGCCGTGCGGGCAACTGCCCGCGCCTGCTACCACCAAGCAAGCACGGGACAATCGATGCGATCGGAGTTTGCAGATGACGGCATGCACGAAACATCACGAAACAGTTGCTGGCTTGGGAAACAATGAAACAAGCTTTCGGACAGCCAGGGCCTGCAACAGGTTTAAGCGGCATTCCGAGAATGCGCAACCATACCTCGAGCTAATCAGCCAGCTGAGCGGTGCATCCAACTGGTGCGAAAGCTGCTGCCACATGCCTGGTGTGGAATCTGATGGAATGGGATGCAGCTGGGTGACGAAGTCAGCACCATGGTTTGCAGGCATTTGTTTGCAAAGCTGAAGCTTGCAGGCTCGCCCTCAGCATTCTCGCCCAGTGCAACGGCAACCGCCTGCAAAGAGTCGCCCTCGGAGTGCAACGCCGAGCTCACCCAGTTCAAAGCCGTCGGAGACATGACTCCGCGAGCCTCCATGAAGAGCTGAAACTTAAAACCCACATGCCAACACCACGGCCCCTTTCCCAGAAAATTCAGACTGCAGTCCTGACAAATGTTACATAAGGCCACACGGGAGATTGGCTACAGTGACCCAAAGCTGTGGAGATGTGGAACATTGTGGAACTCTAGTTCCGTGGCTCCGTGTGGCTGCGAATGGAAACCAAGTTAGAAAGCAAGAGCGCTACAACCCCTACAAATACAGCACATGCCAAGCACAGGCCAATACGGCCATGGATCCAATGGACTGACCACCTCTGCGTTCTCGAGGGTGTTCACAAAGCTACCCACCAAAGACTGAAAGATTTCCCACTGCGCAGTGCCCGCGCAGGCACAGCTTGGCTGCAGTGGTGGCAGGAGATAGTTCAGAGCCGTAAGGCCGTGCAGGTCCTCAGTCGTCTCCCAATTGGGCACTCGGCCGGCCAGGTACCGGGCGCGGGCACCTTGCAGAGAGCTTCGCAGGGGTGCTGATCCATCACCGCCTCCAGCAAAGGCCCGCAAGTATGTTCCGGCACAGAGGCTGTGCAAGGAGTTCCGGCCCCAGTTGTCTGGTTGATGCCACTCGGCCCCAGCCCACTCCAGCAAAGCCAAATGATGCAATTGCAGCGGCCGGTCCGAGAAAAGGCTCGTCCGAATCGCTTCTGCTGCGAAGCCATGCACTTCCTTCCGTGCTCGACCTGCTGCCTCTGGGCAGGCCAGGGTGCCGAGCAAGCTAGGCACGGACAGGATCCGCCTGCCAGAACCGCCAAGACCATCTAGGCAGAAGTGCGCATCGGCTCTGGAGCCGTGGGCCACGTGGGCGTGGGATGCTTGGGCCATGCAAACCTTGCACAGCAGCCTGGAAAGCCTGGGCACGTCCAGGGGCTCGTGGGGCCTCAGGGGACGCAATTCCCTGGGCAAGCGGCTCTCAAAGCTGGCGTCGTCCAGTGGAGGGACTGCCCACGATGGTGGACAAAGCCGCAAGGCCTGGGCAAGAGGCGCAAGCGTGGTGCAAGAACCACGGCATGCTCAGCATGATGAGCATGCAGACGAAGTGACGAGGCAGAACTCACAAAATGCACATATGCCCGTCAAGCTGCTGCCAACAGCACAGTGGCCCACCATCCATGATCCTCGTTCCCATAGCTGGGGGAGGACACAAATACCCCGACACCCAAGACAAGGCAGAAATTCCCTCACCGAAGTATGTTCGCATCAGGTCCTTCTGCTCCTTGGTCTCCATCTTGGCGCTAATGCACAGGATGGAGCTGAGGTGCTCCTGCAAGAACGGCAACACTTCTGGGAATCTACCGACTGGGATTCAAGCTGAAGGCGCAGTGAGAATATGAGAACATTCCAATGTTAGTGTTTCAGTCGTTCTTTTTCTCACGGCAGAAAATAGGCGAAGCCACTGGCACTGGCGGACGGAATTAACCGGTCTCCTCATCCTGCGCATCGGGCCGTAGCAAACAATCTGGCGGCAGCACGGCATTCCGCCGGCGCTGTGCCTCCCGGCTCAATCTGGGTTCCTGACTGAGCCCGTAGGAAAACTAAGCACAATGAACCACTCAAGGCGCCTCGGCTCTGCACCACAAGGAGTTGATCATCCATCTGCCACCCAAAATCGGGCGAAAATGACAAAACTTAAAAAACAGGCGGACTCCGGGTGCTAGTCTGGTTTCCCAATCCTGGTTCGACTTGCAACAAAAAACGATCGGGCTCCATTGGACGACTTATGCAGATACTTGCAGAATATCTGCTTGCAAATCTTTGTCGCCTGCATCTTCCAATGCTCTGCCTTACAAATGTATGCTGCTTCCTCGATGCTGGCTCTGCGACATGGTTTACCGACACTTGACATGTTTCAAAGCCATGTCCATCCATGTCCTAAGCCAAAGCTGCCAGAGCCGGGCGAAATGTATAACTTTTCTTCCAGAACTTCCAAGTAGCCAGATTTCGCAAGGGCCCCAAGCACACAGCAACGACTCACCACAACCGCTTCCGGAACCCTGCACGGGCTTAGAGGCTTAGAGGCTAACGGCTAAAGGGCCGCAGGCAAAACCCTCGATCAAAAGCATGAGATGAGCCATCTGCCATCTCTCTTAGCAAAAAAGAGGGAGGCGTGCCCGAAGCTTGCGCTGGACGTCCGACGTCAGCGCCCGTGCCCTGGCCAGGTTTGCCTCGCAGGACGACAGCCCCTTGCTGTCGTCGCCATCAAAGTGCAAGAATGACAAAACATGACAGAACACTCAAGGGTTATCAAGAAGCCAGCTCTACTGCGACTGGATAACTTGCTCAGCCACTTGTAGAAACAACGTCAAAACGCCATGTAGCCACAGGTGGGACTTCCACCAAGGCTTGCAACATTGCCCATTGCAAGGTACATGGCATCTAACCGGGGCACTGCAATGGCCGGACCTGGTATTTTGCCATCCAGGCTTCTCGATTCTCTGGCCTCAGCAACTTGCACAACACGTTATCATTCCCACAGTCGCAACAATTCTGTTGCAAAGGCAATGTGCATTTTCCCCCTTGCCGCGGTCGATCCTGCCTTGCATCACAAAGGAGCCCATGCCATCCCATGCCCAAGAAGGCGAGGGGCGAGCAGGCGCTCCGTCTTTCGCATCAGATGGGTGGAGGGACTCGGAGGAAGTCGCCCCGGGCGATTTGACCGCAGATTTGGCTCCAATGCTGTAGCTTTTCCTGGCGCGAGAGCCACTGCAGCTGAGGCCCGATCTTCCACTTAAAGCTTTCCCATTCGCGGCGATCAGTCCAGGCAAGCTCTGAAACCGCAAGGAGCCTCGGGAAGAGCATCTCTTCAGCTCTCGCCTCAGAGTCCACCGTCTCTGTCCAAAGGTTGGCCTGCAGCCCTTTGATTCGAGGAATGGCCTCATCCTTCAGCCCCAAGCGTTGCAGACGCTCCAAAGGCTCGTAGTCATAGACACGCTGCAAGGGAAGTGCCGGGGCTGCCCAATAGAGGCCGCGCTCCTCGTAGGCCAAGCTCTGGACAATGTCAAGGTACAGGAAGTGGGCAGGACAAAGAACAATGTCCAGCCCAGCATTCGCCGCGTGGACTGCAAACCGCTCGTCTTCTTTCCACGCAAAGGCAGCTGGCCGCCACTTAGCATCAGGATCAACTGACCCTGCAGAGAAAGCTTCCTCCCATGCCATCAGCGAGCGACCATGTTTCCCTAGGAAGTCTTGTAGCCACAGCGTGAGGCGTGCCTTGAGTTCCTCTTCTACCTCCTCATCATCACTCCAAGCACCACGAGGGATCTCATCCATGCCCACGTGAACCGGTCCAGGGAAAAGCTCCAGAACTTCTCGAAGGACCAGCTCGAGGAATATGTAGGTTGCGTTGGCTCTGGGATTCAGAACGTTTCCGGCAAAATTTTGCACGCTTTTGACCGGTGGAACTCGAATGCTCTCTCGAACGCTCTGACCTAAAAGATCCGGGAGTGCCTGGATAGCAGCATAGCTGTGGCCCGGAACATCGATCTCTGGGACGACCACAATATTTCGCGACTCCGCGTAGCGCACGATCTCGCGAATTTGCGACTGCGTGTAGAAACCTCCGTAGCGCCGTGGCCCGCCTCCGTATTGCGGCTCAATGACTTCACCACGCCCTCTGAAGGCTCCGAACCGTGTCAAGTTCGGAAGCGACCGAACTTCAAATCGCCAACCCTCGTCATCGGTAAGATGCCAGTGGAAGACATTCAATTTGTACAGGAACATCCAATCAAGAAGTCGCTGGATGAAGTCAATGCTGAAAAAGTGCCGCCCTACATCAAGCATAAGGCCTCGGTGTGAGAAGCGTGGCTTGTCTCGGATAAGCTGTGCTGGTATTTTGGCATGTCCATCGATCAACGCAGCGCCTAGGAGTTGCTTAAGGGTGGCAGCACCATGAAAAAAGCCAGCTGAATCGTGGGCTGTTATGAAGATGGCATTGTTCTGAATCCGGAGCTCGTAGCCCTCAGGCCCCAAATGGGACTCGCGGGTGTAAGATAACGACAGATTTCGTGCTTCCGCTGCCACAATTCCCTCAGGGACTCCAAACGGAGCACCCGGCGGCCATGTGAGCAGCCAACCGTGAAGCAGGGTAGCTGCGCCCTTGGCTTCCTTGTCAGCCTCAATACTCAGCGGGGGCTGCAAGCCAGCATTCAGGTCGAATCCTAGACCGGGTAGGCTGGTGACCGCTTCCGGCTGTGGGATGCCAGAGAACATCCCGGAGCTCGCATCGGAAAAACGTACTTGTCCCTCTCCCGGTGTAGCAAGCTCAACATCAAACACAGCCTCTGCAGACCCCTTCAAGGATACGATGTGGAGGGCCCTCGGAAGGTCAGAAACATATCGCATGGACGGGGCTCCGATCTCGAGAACAAACGCATGCACTCCTCCTGGCTCTAGTGGTTCGCGTCTGGGCAGACACACATAGCTACCTCTGACCGCTGCATCGGCTGGCTGTCGGAGGACCACTGCTTTCAGCCATGTGAAACAAAGCTGCCAGTCTGCCACTGCTGGAGCCGACCACTCGCTCGAAACGGAAAGGATTATCACCGAGCCCTTGGAGTCCTCGTCAGCGACGACTTGCACGGTTGCATGGAAGTAGATTGGATCGGAACCACAGCATCCAACAATCCAAGCAAGCAGCAGTCGAACCACCATCACTCAATCACTGCCCACGCTGAAAGCTCTCCTTGTTAAAGGTTCTGCAGGTGGTTCGAAGAACGTAACAATAAGCATCTCAACCCAACAAAACCTGAAGCAAATCGAACCGTTGCAAGGGTTGGGGTGTCGCTGGTTCTTGCAAGCTACTCTCGGACAGAGGATGCTATAGTGCATGGGGTTGGGCAGAGCACCGTCAATCACAGCCTTGCACGTTTACAAACGGCTGATTGTATAGTTGATTCGGCTGTATGCTCGCACTCTACCTGATATGCTGCCCCTGTCGCCTGTCCAACTTCTCTGGTGCTTGCCCCTTTCATGGGACATTTTCGTCCGTTTGCAGATACAGTGTCTTGCCTGCCAAGGACGGAGTAGCCTACTGCATCATTTCTTCAACAGGGCCTCCTGGTTAGAACATCGCACGCACCGGCCAGCAACACCATCAAGTCATCAGCGTTCTCTTGTTCTCTGGCAACCACCAGGACAGATGGCTGCATGAAAGCTTGAAGCAACGAACCGCGCATGATTCCGTAGACCTGGGCCGGGCAGAAGCTAAGCTCCTTGCATGCGATTGCTCGTGCGCAGGAAAGCAAGCACAGCATGTATCGCACGTGGCTCCGGAGACCTGATGGAGCGAGCGGACGCCGCTGGTAGTGACAGTAGTGTGGACACACCCGCAAGTCTTGTCCGACGCGTCGGGCTCATTCTATGTCAGTGGAGCGCGAAGATTCCGCGTACCCACCGAAAGTCCACAAACGCTGCGAGCCCAAATTGCATGCCGCCTTGTCAAGCCTTTGCTGCACAGCTTCGGTAGGGTGTGCTGAATCCATCTGCCAGAAATCTGCAATGTTTGCATACCGTCTCTGGAAAGAGTGCCAACTTGAACGGCCTTCTTCTGCTGCAGCTCGATAAGCAGTCGCCAATTCTTGGACTGTGCCGTTCACGAGGGTTTGAAGGGGCATGGACTTGGGAAAGCGAGAGTGCAAGAACTCGTAGATGAGTGCCGGCCTGTGGGGCAGCGACGCCCAGTGCAGCACAAGGGGCAGCAGCGCACAGGGTCCTCCGTACTTGTACTCAGGTGGCATCCAAGCTTCAACATACCTCCTGTGCTTTGCTCGAGACCAAGTTCTAAGCGGCAAATAGCCAGCACCCCGCGCTTTGTCCTTGTGCCCGGCCCCACGATACAGGAAGAAGCTCGCAAGGAGGAGGCCCACTTCAGGACCCTCTCGCGGGCGTAAGAAGTGGATCCAGCGACTTTGATCGCGCCTTTCACCAACCAGTCGGTCCAGCTGCTGCCGCCAGCACATGCAGTAGTTAGCATAGCTTACACCACCTAGATACTTTCCAAGCACCAGGTGAGGTAGACACTGGGAAGCATAGGTGGGAGGACCTCCGCGGAGGACGGCGGACTCAATACCCAGCAACTCGAGCACGGACTCGGCGACCGCTGCCTGATAGCCATAAGGGAGACTGGGCCAGTTCCGCTTCTCCCTCGCCAGCTCCACAAAGAGCCGTCCCACAGAACTGTTACGAACCACTATGAAGCCCGCATTCGCACAGTGGTGGTGATAGTCCTCACGCGGAGAGTCGCGGATAACAACATGCGGCAGGTCACCGCTGCTCTTGCGCGCAATCAACTGTGTGAATGAGAAGCTGTCAAAGCAACATGGCGAGATTGTCAAGTCAAAATCGACCCACACAGTCCAAGGGCTTTTCGGAACGGCTTTGGCCAAAGCCTCCAGGGAATCCCAATAGCCAGGTGGCTGCGTGAAAATCAGGAGCTTTTGCAGGAGCCCTTTGTCTTGAATCGTAGAAGACGAGAAGGATTGAGAGGGCATCAGCCTGGCGGCATCTTGCGGGCGAAGATAGCCGTAGTCGAGCCAGAACCCTCCATCCTCGTCCGAAGAGCTGGCCCAGTAGAGATCCATATACCTGGCGAAAACGGAACCTGTAAAGTAGCGCTCCCTGTCCAGCAGGAAGTTGTGAGCATGGGTTTCAGCAAAGGCCTGCCAGGCCCGGATCTGGCCACGCCAAGCACCCGAAGCGCTTTCCGGATCCGCGTGGAGACCGATGGTCACATCTTCGGGTTCTGGGGCTCTCTGAGACTCTGAAAGCGCCGAGGCCTTGGCCAAGTCCGAGCGGTGCTGGCTGAGCAGTGCCAAAAGGCGTCTGCGTTGCAAGGATTTCACCCTTTCCTCAAGCTTCAAGTGGTACCTCATCAGTACCCAATCTCTCGTGGCCGCCAGCTCATATCCTGGAGATGTGAGAGCTCCAAGGCTCAGGAAGAGCCTGCCGAGGCCACAGGACTGCACCGATGAGCAATTCTGCACCTCTGCCGCCAAACGGCTCAACATTCGCAGTTGCATCCACCAACCCTCGTGCAGAACTGCTTTAGCCGAATAAAGCCCCTGGCAAGACTCATGCTGAATGTGGAAATTGTTGAGATTGTACGGATGGCATACGTTACCAGGCCCAAACGGGAAGCTCATGTCTTCAATGGCAGCAAACTGAAGGAAGATCTAATAGATGTGATCCATTGCGGCACAACACGGTCTAGCACTAGAACGATCCACGCCGAGTCTACAACGCAATCAGACACTCTACATCAAGTCTGCACAGTCCAAACAGATGTGGTCTAGACCGTCTGATCCATTCTAAAAAGCAGAAATGCCTGTCTTATTCCCCAGGCACTTGATCCAGGAGGACAGGTTGCATTGCTCACATGAACTTCACTTCAGTCTGAGCCACTGACACCATCCCTGGCGATGCGTTCTCTGTCTGGTTTGCATTGCCTTCTTCCGCCTGGGGCCATCAGAGGGGGAGCTTAAGTCGACCAGGCCGATGCCCCCAGTGCCACCGAGACAGATGCCATAGTGCGGACACCACGATGTAGAGTCACCTTGACTGGTCTCTCCGCCACATGTTGCCATTGGGTGTTAACTGAATTGAGGGGCTGGCCAACTGTGGCAAGCTGGCAAGCGCAGGGATTCGCGGAATCAATATGTTCGAAGAATGAACCGATGCCAATGTTGCTTGCATGGCGAGTGCCATGTTGGCTGAATAGTGGAGCACCAATCAAGTATATCAAGTTCTTGTTTGTCTCGCCTATCGCAACATGTGCTGAGCCCCGAAACAGCTGTAGTACCCACATCACTGTCTTTCAGCAAAAGTCTGCCGGATCTGCTCTCGCATCGCAAGCAGGGGTTCTTTTCCTCATGACCGTCACAAGGCGGTGCTGCGGGCGGCTCGCGTGCAGCGTCCTCTGGCGTAATGAAGAGCAGCGTGCCTTGCCACAAGCGGCTTTGACGCCCTTACTCTGCAAAGAACCTCCACTGCTAAGCATCATGCAGTGTCAAGCCAAGAGCCATGGTACGCTTACCCTCGAAGTCCAAGTCCACGCGCTGGATGCGCGGATCCAGCTGCTGAAGATACTCCAGGAGTTCATCGTAAGTCCTGCCGTCCCTGCTTTAAGCCAAGGCAGAGACATGCTTTAAGAAGCCCTGAATGAGCTCAACCCCGACGCAAAACCACCCGGATCAAAGCCTTTCTGGAAGTTGCAAGTAGCAGGAAGAAAGTGACGTGGAAAAGCACGACAAGCTCTAACAACTCATGCCCTTTTGGTCTTTACGTCGTACCACATGGCGGCGCTCCTGACCGGCCGTCCAGTGCTGCGCAGCTTGCGTTTCGGGAATTCTGTCAGGGCTGAGATGCCAAGAATCAACCACCCTCGCTCAAACCCAGCTTGCACCTCTCAATATCATGTTTCAACTCAAATAGAAGATCGTCCGTGAGTCACCGAGTCCGAGTCAGATGATCATGAGTTAGAGAATAAGACGGCGCTCGCGCTCTCCTACCTCTTTTGGCAACTGGTCTGTTTGCGTGCCTGAGGAGCTGGCCACCTCTCTTAGGCAAACCGGACCCTATGTCAAGTTCATACGTGCATATGTTATACAGTACGCCCGCCCCCCCCCCGCCCCCCCTTCGCCCCCCCCCCCCCGCCCCCCCGTGCCCCCCCGCCCCCCCTGCCCCCCCCTGTGCCCTTACCCCGTGCCCCCCCGGCCCCCTCCCCTCCCCAATCATCCACTCTTGTGCGTCCTAGTTGTTCTTCTTTCTGCTGTTTGCTGGTCCTGCATTTTTTGTGTTTTCTGTATGTGGTTCCATGTTTTGCTTCACATTATCTACAGGTTGTCATATGATCCATATGCTTTTGATATGTAGACCTGCACAAATCGGTACAAACTGCACCGGCTCACGCTTCCAAGTTCCCAGATCCAAGATTGCAGGGAGGTCCTGCAATCTTGGATCTTGGAGAAATGAGCCGGTACAACTTGTACCGATTTGCACCGGCTTGGACCGGCCCTATAGTGGTTATAACTTTCTGGTTGCAACACCTAAGGCTTTAAACAAGCTTTGAAGCACTTTGGTCTTATGGGTAGGCTTCGTAACATGTGCGCCTGCAAAACAATTGACTTCGTGACAAGAATGTCCGCCAGCAGAACCGTGAACTTCCTCGTACGGTCAAAGGTTATGATTGCGGGTCCTCTCGGCACTTGCAGTCCACTTTCCTGCGTGTACAACTGCGCTTGTACTACAAAATCTGCTTTCAAGGCACC